TTCAACTTACATGGGGAAAGACAATGAAAAGATGCTAACACCAAGATGTTGGGATGATCTGAAAAAGAAAGCAGCTCTTATAAAAATACTCCAAGGAGAGAATGGACAGTTAGTGCTTAGAGGGCATGGAGTTTTCGTTTGAGAAGAAGAAAAAATTCTGTGGATGGATGTTCGTGATAGTGACACAACAATGTGAATGTACTTAGTGCCACTGAACTGTATACTTAAAATTGGTTAAAATGGTAAATCTTATGTATGTTTTACCACAATTTTAAAAAAGACTTCAAGAAGTAAGAACAAAGACTGAGCTTTCTCCAGCTTTTCCATAAATAAAAGATATGCACACACACCCAAAATGGAAATTTTAGAACTGAAAAATACAGTACTGAAATAAAAACTCAATGTATGGGCTAAAGAGCAGAATGGGGATGTCACAGGAAAGACTGTGAACTTTAAGATAAGTCAATAGAAATTAACCCACCTGAACAACAGAGAGAAAAAGCTTGAAAAAAATAAACAGGGTCTACGGGACCTGCAGCACAACATCAAAAGGTCTAACTACATGTCCTGAGTAGCAGAAGGACAGGAGAGTACAATGCATGAATGTTTAGAGCAGCTCAATTTATAATCCCACCCAAAGTGGAAAGAACCCCTTCAATGGGTAAATCAATAAACAAACTGTGGTATTTCCATGCAATGGAACTCAGCTCCCCAACAGGAAGGAATGAGCTACTGATAAGCTGTGATAACTTAGATGAGTCTCAGTGGCATTATTCTTCTGAGTGTAAGAAGCCAGTTTCAAAGGGTGACGTACTGTATGATTTTATTTGTGTGACATTCTCAGAAAGACAGCTATAGTGATAGATCAGTGGTTGCCACAGCTAAGGGCGGGAAGAAGGTGTCACTACAAAGGGAAACGAGGGTTTTTTGAGGGATGATGGAACTGTTCTGTATCCTGTTTGTGGTGGTGGTTATGCAAATGAACATGCTGAAATTCATGGAACTATACACACATAAAAAAGAGTTAACTTTACTAAATGTTAATTGAGACAAACAAAAAAATCTGTGGTGGTCAAGCTCCAGGATGGCCCACAATGTGCCTCACCGTGATCTCGTGTGTGCTGGTGCATAACCCCCTTTCACATCCAAAAGGGCTGGCCTGTGTGACTAACAAGAACGCAGAAGTGATGGTGGGTGGCTTCTAAAGCTAGGTCATAAAAGGTAGTGCAGCTTCTGTTTTGGGCTCTTGAATCACTCTTTCTGGGGGAAGCCAGCCGTGACGGGGTGAAGACCCAGCGATCCCGTGACGAGGAGCCAAAGCCTCCCACCCAGCGAACACACCCTTTTGACCCCCAGCTCCACTACCAGAAACATGTCCAACTGATGGATTTGCACAGGAGGGAAGTGACTCCTGTTCTTCGTTGCAGCTTTGTTTGTAATAGCCAACATGTCAAACTTAAATGTCCCAGACTAGGTTAAATGCATGACAGGCCATGTATATTATGGAGTATGATGAGCTGAGTGAAAAGAATGAAAAAGACTTGCAAATCTAATATCCAAAAAATTCTAAGGTATGTGATTTGAAAAAAAGCCGGAGCCAGACAGTACGGTTTTGTGTTTTGTTTCTTAAAGCATATATAGATGTATATGTGTCTAGAGATGGCATGAAAGTTTCTGGAAGGCTTCCAAGAGCCTGTTAGCAGTGTTTTGCCTCTGGAGAGGGTTCTGGGCTGGGGGGAACACTTATTTTTTCACTCTACAGTTATATTCTGTGCTTTCTGAATTTTTTACCTTGAGCATGAATTTATTTTCAATAAAAATGTTGGATACTTTGCACAGCCAGAGCTCTACTTTTTAGCGCTGCTCTCAAGGGGCACCATGGGGGCCTCTTCAGCCAGTCAGCTCAGATGGTCCCTTAGTCAGCTCTGAAAAGACCCTCCCATCCTCACCCTATTTGCTTGCCCTTGACCCAGAGTAAGCCCTGATTAAGATCTGATCGAATACCCTAGGTTTAAAAGCCTCCTCTGGCCCCCCCAAGGGAAGGAGCCAAACCTTAGCTTGATGTTCCAGGCCCTCTACATGCTGCTTAAACCTTCCTATGCTGCCACGTCTCTGGTCTCCACCTCCCAAGATCCACTCATGGCACTGCTCACTGCTCCCCACAAACTTAACTATTTTTCTGGTTTTGACTTAATAGTCTTTCCTTCAGTCATTCTAAACCCATAGTAATATTTACCACCTTAACACTCAGTTCTGATTGTCACTTCCCTTGCACCATAGCCTTCACCTGCTCCCCACTGCTGCTAGGAATACAAACTCTTACTCTGGCATTTGAAGAACCACCCCCTGCCGTGCTCGGACACCAGTGAACTTTCTAAACACTTCCTCCAGTCTGCCCAAACTAGACAAATTATGGGCCCTTATTTTCCTTTGTTCATGTGGTTTCCTCCATCCAGAATTCCTTTACTCTTTCCCCATGTGTTTCTGCTGAAATCATACTCATCATTCAACTCAAGTCCAACCTTTTCCATGAATCTTCTGCAATGTCAGAAGTATCTCATCTGCCCACACACTTTCTCTGCATATTCATTCATTCAACCTATATGCAAGAGGCTCTCTTATAAGCCATGCACTGGGTCAGGAGTTGGTGCAGGGAGATACACCAGTACGGTTCCTGTTCTTGGGGAAGCTTTGGTGTACCTGGGGAAACCAAGAAGCAAATGCCCTTGGTGAGTGACCTGAGAGGCAACATAGCACAAGGGTTAAGGGCACTGACTCTTAGAGCTCCAGGGTTCAAGTCCCAGCTCTGCCACTGGCAAGCTGTGACCTTGAGCTAGTTTCTTCACCTCTGTGCATCAGTGCCCTTACCTGTAAAATGGAGATAATAAGAGGACCAACATCATAGGGTTGAACTAGATGAGTTAGCTTATGTAAAGTACTTAAAACACAGCCTGGCACATAGTAAACAATACATGTTGGTTATTACTACAATTTCAAGGTGATATGGGGGCCCCATCGGTCTTGTTATGAGGGTCTCCAGGATCTGGCATAAAGATGAACCTGAGTGAGGGTCTCCAAAACTACCTAATTCATAGCACATCATTTACTTGATATTTTTCTTTAAATCAACTCACATTTTGTACTTAAATACATTTCTGAAAAGGCAACTTTAAACCACATCTGTAAATGAAAAAATGCAAATACAAAGTATACCCCAAATAGATATAATGCAAGCAAACTAGTGTCTCTAAATTCTAGCTAGGTAATGTCTGACTCTGAGGTCTACTGTTGTCAGGCAGATTATTAGCAAGAGGCAGAGGAGGGAATGACATGCTGGCAGCAGACTGAGACTTTCTCTTTGGCACTGTTAGCAGGACTGAGAAAACACTGAGAAGGTAATTCTCTCCTGCTAGTGCCCTGTGCCTCCCAGACCATCTTGTACTCTATTAGAAAGGGGAACAATCGCCCACACTTGAGAGAATGGTCAAATGATGTATGTAGTGCCAAACTTTTTTGAGGTAGATTTTCAGAAGGATGAGGTATCCTCCTAGGCTCCTTCCTCTGCCACCCTTGGTGGACATTGTTCCCCACTTCTGCTGAGTCACTGTACGTGGGGAAGGAGGTAGTTTCTGAGAAATGCTTTTTGTTCCTTCCCTTCCCACTGTTTACCTGGCTGGGCTTGGCCTCCTGCGCTGATGATCAATAAAGGATTAGCTGTAAAAACAAACCAAGCCTGCTTGCCCTTGAATAATGTTATTTCAAGGGAAAGGTCCCAACCCTGAAATAAGCCAGGTTTCAAGTAAGAATCTGAATTAATTCTGACATCAGAACCCAGAGCGTAGGATTTGCCTTCAGGCTATGGGCTTTTTTCTGTCAATTCCACTAAAGACAGAAAACTGAAGAGGGGAAGGGATCTTTATTTCCGGACCAGGCAAAGCTTGTTATTATTCACTAAGCTTTTTTGAATTGAACCAAACAAGGAAATGAGAGGTCTACTCTTCCTTCCTCCCTCTATTCCTTCTTTCCTTAAAACTCCATTCCTATTGACTCCCTTCCAGATTTCTGAGTATCTGTAACATATCAGGACAGCGTTTCCCAGCTTTGGTTCCCTTGAACACCAGCTTCTCCATTTCTACCTCTACAGGTAGTTACTTAATTTTTTAATGTAATTCTCATTGTTTTATTTATATAAAAATTGGCCCCATCCTAAAACAGTGAAATCCATCAAATTCAAGTGTTTTACTATCTAGTTATATATTTCCCTGAGCATAGTGAGACAAGTAAGTAATGTCACAACATAGACTGAGCACTCCCAGGCTCCTAAAGCCTCGCCAGTGACCACACTTTGTGGAACCTTCTGTGCTGCACAGGGAGGAGTCAGCAGAGAAGGCTCTGCGCTAGCGCTTGCTGGCTGACCACGGTGCGCCATCCCCACATCTTTTCCACCAGTGTTGCTCAACCTTTAACTCCTGGAGAGCATGTTGGAACATTCCTGGGCAGCATTCCTAGGGACTCTGATGTGGTGGGTCGGGGGTGGGCCTGGGAGTCTGCATTTCTAACAGGCTGCCCCATGTGATGTTGATGCTGCTGGTCTGAGGAGCACAGTTTAAGTAGTTCTCTGGCCACAGGACATCAAAATCACTTGTAGGTGCTTCTTAACGTGCAGATTCCTGGGCCCTACCCACCAGATACCTCAGGCCTGGGTCAGTCCCCAGAATCTGCCTTACCAGCCAGCGCTCCACAGACTGGAGACCACCTTCTGAGTCACCATTCATACCCCGAACTCAGAGGGAGGTGACCCACCTTTAAGTTCACTCTGCAAGTCAGGGACAACTCCTTCTCTCTGTTGATTGGGCCCTAAACCTTAGAGCATCCTGGATTTTCCTCCTACTCCCCATTCAGTGTCAGCAGATCCTGAGGGCTCTTCCTTTCCAATATACCCAGATTTTCTTTAAAAGACTCCAGCACATGGACTTGGGGTGATTAAAGATTGTTGAAACTGGGAGTTCATTTTTTATTCTCATATATGCATATTTGAGATGTCCTATGATACAAGCTTTAATTTGTAAGTATTTGACCTAAAATCCATTTCTAGGAATACACTTCAATGAAAATTTTAGATATAAGAAATACTGTTGAGTGAAAAACAAGACATCAAATTGTATATACTGCATGATTAAAACTACGCAAAGACTTCTGTCTTTTAAAAAGACTGACATTTAAAAATAATTTTATATATTCAGACTCTGACCACTTCCCACCACCTTCATGCAATGACCTTCCTCTGAGCCCTATCATCTCTTGCCTGCATCTCTGCACCAGGGATAGTCTGCTTCCACACTTCCTCCCATCACTTCTCCATGTGGCACCCAGAGGGGGGGTCCTTCAAAAATGGAAATCAGACCACAAGTTTCCTCTGTTCAGAATCCTACAAAGGTTTCTGACATCTCTCCAAATAAAAGGCAAATCTCAACTTTACCACTGTCCTCCAGGCTGTAGGACGAGTCACCCAATCTTCTCTGTCCCTGCCTCACTCCTGCCACTCCGACCATGCTGGCCTCCTTACTATTCTTCACTCACTCACTTTAGCTTCAGGACCTTTGCACTTGCCACTGCCTCTGCCAGCAACATGCTGCCTCCAGGTATGTGGATGAGGGTGCCCCTCCCTCTCCCACAGCAGCCCTTAGAGGCCTTGCTCCTCCTCTTAAAATGGCACTGTCTGCTCTGAGGCACCACCCTGTACCTTTTCTTCATAGCACTTAATACCTCCTATGGTATACTTGTTTATTGTGACTTACTCTTAAGAGGATGCAAATTCCTTCATAATAAAGAAATTGTGTACGATTCTCTCTGAATACCTAGTATCTAGCACAGAGCCCCAGCACATAGTAGGTGATTAATAAATACTGTTGAGTAAAAGAATGTTAAATTAAATAACTACCCAAGAGAACTGTAAGCTTCATGTGGGCCTTCTGTTGCTTGGGTGATCCCCCATTCCCAAAACCTCCTGGTAGGGGCAGACCCACAGCAGGAGCCCAGTGGCACTGAAGTGGCTGATCATTTTCCTACCTGAGGTGCACACATGCATGCGTGTGGGCACACACACACACACACACACACAGCATAAAGTGCATCCTGTGAACTGGTGGAGCAGGGCACGGCAGGTAACAGTAACGACTCTGCGAGGTCAAATCCTGGCCAACCACCACCAGTTGTGCAGCTCTGGCAAAACTATGAGAATTTCTGAGCATTCATTTTTCCTTGTGCAGAAAAAAAAAGGACATTAACAGCTCCTGCTTCCCAGGCCTGGGGTGGGGACTAAATGCCCATAAAGCACAGAACAAGCATAGTGCCTGTCACAGAGTGGGTGTGCGACAAGAGGAAGGCAAATTAATCAACAGCCACATACGTGCCTTTGTCTCTTTCAAGTTTACAATGTGCTCTTATACATGCTTTATCTGATCTGAACCTTCCAACAACCCCGACAGTTTTATCACCATTTTATAGGTGAGGAAACTGGGTCAAAGAGGAACAGAGTGCTTGCCTACAGAACACAACTGGATCTGACTACAACTCCAGCACCCTCTTGTCCAGAAACACAAGCTATTATTATTGCTGAGGCTAATCAAGATGATTTGGATGGCCCATTAGAGCCCCAGGCTCTAAAGCATGTGCCTAGTGTGAGGCTATGAATAGCAAATGAAATCAGCCAGTAAACCACACCTTCCCAAGGAGGCAGGGGTGCCCAAGATCTTGCTTCACCAAATGAAGTTCATGTAACAAGTCTGAACAGATAAACCATCTCTCAGGTCCCCCAGGATTTAAAACATTTCAGTTTTCCAAAGATGAAATATATTAAAAGCCCTTACTTAGAGCTGGGCAGTAGCTTTGGTGTCTGAGATTCCTGTTGTCCTGCAACTTGCGTGTGTGTGTGAGAATATGGTCTGACGGCTCTACCTACAGGAGGGAGGCTAGGAGGATGGGCACTGGACACCAAATTAATGGCAAAGTTCTGTAAGCAGGACCCTTGGGACACAGATCGGAAGGGGAGAGGGTGGCTTTCAGAAGGATGCCACCAGGCTAGCAAGCCCTGGGCCCTAGTGATGTGTCCAGCCCAAGACTGTGCTGGAGAAGATTTGTGGCAGGCCACCAACTACCAAGAGACTCTGGGAGCAACGGTCTGGTTTGATGATGTGTGCTCTTTACCTGTAACGTGCTGTGTGAGCAGCACTTAGCATCTGCAGAGCACAGCATGGCGTCATGATTCCTAACCTGTATCTGCATGGTGTTGACAATGGAGAAGAGGGCTCATGCCCCAAGCCCTGGGCATGGCCTAAGAAGGGGGGCTGACGGTGGCTCTGGCCAAGCAGGGGATGAGTCTGAGCTTATTTTTAGGGTCATCTGCAAAAGTTCATTACTACCACCCCACAATGGTTTCATCCACATTAAGGTCACTTTAGGTACCTAAGTTAATTAACTTCACTGATTTTTTTTTTAAAAGAATAAAGGAGAATTCTAGGGTAGTCATGACCTTATATAAAACTATAAAAATCTCTTTCTATATATAAAAAAATCTCTCTGAAGAGAGTTCAACATCCTAGACTGCTTAGAACTGGGCAGACCAAGAGAGGATGGACTGCTTTGCTGGTGTGAGAAATTCCCAGGAGAAACAGTGGGAAGCACATGAGAAGGGGAGGTGCTCTGGCTTCTAGGATCTTGGAAGTCCTGTGCCTGGGAGATAAGATGTCTTCCTCCTCCGCGAAGTTCCTGGTGCTTTTCTCTGTCTCTGCAGGTGAGAAGAGGAGCTTGCACTGTGGGGATCACTCTTGGGAGCCCCTCTGGCTACCAGGGCTGGATGGAGGGACCAGCCCAGACTGGTGATGTGCTCCAGCCAGATCAGAACTCATCCCGCAGCTGAGGGGGTCTGTCCATGCCAAAGAAAGAGGACAGCCTCCCCTGGAGGTCCCGTTCCCGCTTGACAAAGGCGGTGAAGGAGGAGACACAGTTGCCAATAAAATGGTCAGCCTGGCCGAGGATATACAGGTCGATCTGGGCCACCTCAGGCTTCAGGCTCACCACCTTTACCTGCAGGAAGAAGGGCAGAGCGTTTTACCCAGGGTGGCTGCAGGCCAAGATGTCTGGGTCTGCCAAGGCCTGCAGCCATACCCCAGCCTTCTTCCCCTGAGTTGAAGTTCCAGACACAAAAGGAGGTGCAGAGAGTATTAAGATGTGGGGTCAGATGGCTGACAGAAGTGCACACCCCCGCCCCCTGCCAACAGCACCTCTTCCCCACTAGCCTCAGCTCCAAAAACACCACTCATTCACACTCTATGCTTATGCCTGGAATGCCCTTTCCCAACTAATCCTGACTATACTTTCAAGGCTCAGCTCAGTTCACCTATCTCGTGAAGCCCTAGACTGCCAGGCTTGGCTTCTGCCAGCAAACCATGGTCTGACCAAATAGTGCTCTACCTACCCAGTTCTGCTGTCTGGATGCCTCTGAGTCCCAAAGTCCTGCCCAATTTATCCCTGAGATATTCCCCAAAGGTGAACCCTTCTCTGGATGGAATACCACTCCCTGGGCCCAGCCACCATGATCTCATGCCTTTTCACCAGTACCCTGGCTGCCTCTCTTCCTTGTCTGCTCATCACAGAGCAGCTCGAAAAAACTTTTTGAAATACCCCTACCCCTGTTCTTTCCCCTACCCCATGATGAATACCCTTAATGGTGTCCTATTGTTCTTCATATAAAGGTGACAAATTCTAAATGTGGCAAAACAGGGCCCTTGTTCATGCTGCCTCTCCACCTCCTTTCACATCTCCCACCTTCATCCCAGAGCTCCAGCCACTACCCACCAGGCTCCCTCCTGCCCCAGGATCTTTGCATACACTCTTCCCTCTTTGGGGTGTTCCTTTCTGCCTTGTTAGCTACTACTTAACCTTCATTCTGCAGCTCAAGTCTCAGCTCCTTGGGAAGCCCTCTCTGGCCTCCCCAGTCTAGGCCAGGGTCCTCTGTTCTACATACACCCTCACAGAACCACGTTCTTTTACGTTGGAGCACATGTTTCAGTTTGTAGTTTTCACTCCTTTTTCTCTGATTAATGTCTGTCTCCTGTACCTGATGGAACTGGGTTTCAGTCTTGTCACTGCTGGGTGGGAACCATCTCAAGAAACATCTTGTTGACTGGACAAGTGAATGAATGAGCCCCCTTCCCCACAACCAAGCTCCTGGACCTCTCTTGTGGTATATATTCTCTGCAAAGAGAGTCCTCTGCAAAGTCTCTCTTCCTGAATCTAGCCTGTGAGCCCTGAAGGGCTGAACCACATTTTATTTATCAGTATTCCCAGCTCAGCACTGGCCCAGCTTAATGGGGGAGCAAGGCTTAGTTCAGGAGGAAGGGTGGGCTCTGAGCCCATGGAGAAGGCGGCTGAGGAGTAGGGAAAGGCCAGAAGATTGGCACAGGAACAGGATATAGAAAATGGCAAGAGATTCAAGGCATAACAAATATATCAACTCTAAAAACTCACAAAAAAACTCCCTGGGACTCTCCAAATGCTTCAACTTAGTACAGAGGTTGGGGGTGTGGGCAGAGCAGGGGCTGAAAGTGCTTTGCTGTCACACAGAGACTTCTGATGTAACAAAAATCATCATCTTGCTATGTGGATGGGAGCAAAAAAACTACTAGTTTAATCATGGCCAAAATCCCCCAAACAACGCCACCCACACACTAAAATTTACCAGCTCTGTGTCATGCCCACTATAATTAGCTGAGACCTCTTGGGGAAAGTGTCCCTTCCTGGGACTTTGGTTTCCTCAACTACACAACACAAGGGTTGGATTGGAGGCAGCCTGAGCTCCCGCAGCTCTGACCATCTTCTATAGCGTGGGTGGGTGGGAGACCAGAATGCACTGCTTCAGCTGCTTCTCTACTAGTCCGGCCTTTCAGCCTGCATCTTGGGTAAAAGAGGGAAAGGGAGCCCCTTGACATCAAGTCAAGGGCACCCAGTGCTAGAAGGCAGATGTCCACTTTTAGAGATCTGCACAGCATTTAGGACTTTCATTCATTCAACAGTCTTAGTGAATGCTTATTACTAATTCAGTTACTTTAACAATAACACTTACTACCTACTCTTCACTGACATGGTATCAAGAGCTTCCTACTGTTTATTCACATACTGAATACCTACTATTCACCATTTCCTTAAGCATTTACTAAGCACATAAGATCTTTCCTTTTATTCATCAAGTACTTGTAATATCAAAGACAGCTCATTTTATTGAACATTTTTGTACCAGAACTGTTTTAATTTCTCCATGTTTGATTTTCACACTCACCTTATGAGCTAGATACTACTGAGTCCCATTTTTCAGACAAGAGAGCATAGAGAGGTAAAGTAACCTACGCAAGGCTGCACAGTGAATAGACCCCACCTCCTCTGGCTCTAGAGTCCATGCTCTTAATCCCTCTGCTACACCAGATGTCTGCCAAAGGCCCACTCTTTACACCTTATTCAACAAACATTTACCAGATGTCTATACGTGTGAGGCACTGTCCTAGGCACTGGTGATGGCAAGGCTGAGTCTCAGCCCTTGAGAAGGTCAGAGCACCAGGCTAGATGCTGAGGAATAGAAAGTGAGGCAACTTTGGACCCTGCCTTCAAGAAGCCACCGCTGCTGGGAAGAAGACAGACGTGTTGTGATAAATGTGCACGTTATCAAAGTGGAGTGAGAACTGGAGAGACTGCATAGGTGTGTGAATGGGAGTTTGGAGGAAGGGTACAAACTGGAGACAAACTGGATGTCTGAGCCAATGCCCAGTGGCAGGAGGACATGAAGCACACAGGGGGAGTGGTGGGACCACCCTGGCGCTTTCTTTGACTCACTTCCCACAGCACTGCCTCCGGCCGCTGCATACCTTCCCTCTGAAGAGCTCTTGGATCTCTGGCTCGTAACTCTCAGAGTCTGTGGCAATGTAGATGGACTGCGCATTCAGCACTTCCACCCAGAGCTTCACAGCCCTCCTGATTTCCTTCAGGTCGGGGAGGCACATGGTCATGGTGAGAGTGGCTGCTGTGCTGCGGCTGTAGCCCACACATTGTGGAGAGGCCATGAAGTGGGAGCCCGCAGTCCCATCCTTCAACATGGCGCAGGCATTCTTCTGCAGGTGGGGGCACAGCGTTACAGACAGCAACTGGCCCAGAACCCCCGAAGCAAGGGCTGGTGAGTAGAAAAAGAGGCTATACAACAGGAGTTCTACTGTGTTTTTAAAAAAGAGGGAAATGCACACAACAGTAACAGCGGTCATTCTGGGGTAGAGGGAATGTTGGCTTTTGCTAAATGTTTTTTCTTGGCCTTACTGCATTATCTGGGTCCTCCAGTAGAATTCTGAACTGTGGTGGTGATAACTGGCAGCCTTATCTGATTCCTGACTTTAGTGGGAACACTCCTGATAGCTCTCACGAAGTGCATGTGTGCTGTGGCTTTCAAAGAGATAGCCTTTATCAAGTTAAGGTGGGTCCCTTCGATCCCCAGTTGGTGAAGAGTGGTAGGGTTTGTCTTTTTGTTTTTTTAATCATGAATGAGTATTGACTTTTATCAAACGCTTTCTTGGCCTCTACTAAGATGATTATATGATTTTTCTTCTTTGGATGTTAATATAGTGAATTTTGTTGCATTCCTGGGATAAGTTTTACTCGCTGTGTTGTATGTTTAATACATTATTGGATTTTACTTGCTAATATTTTACCTAGGATCTGTGCATCTATGTGAGAATGGACTATACTTTCCTGAGTTGATCTTATCTGCGTTTGGTATTAGTGTTACAGAAGTTCTATAAAAAAATGACATCTTATTTTTTGTGTGTTCTAGGAATGCATAGATGGGAGCTATCTGTTTCTTGAAGGTTAGGCTGAAACCACTTATCAAATATTCTGGGCCTGGCTTCTTTCCTTTGTGAAAAAGGGGCAGGATGGGAGTCTAGTGTAAATGTGTGATTACTTCCTTAATTGATTCTGAATGAATTTTCACTTAATTTCTATACTTGTCAATACTTTCCAAGTCTTCAACAATGAACACTTCCGACATACTTACATACATACATATATAATTTCCTACATAAATTAAGGAGACTGTGTACATTGCTTCTGTTATTTTCACACAGAAGATAATCTGATGGGGTTTCTGCACATTTAAGCAGCCTCCATATTTGGAGAATGACATCTTCAATTTCTTGGGAACCCCACCCAATCCCCAGAGCTTGTTTTTCAACAAGAAGTCTACTGGCTAAACACTGAGCTGAGACAGAGGACCCCTGGGGTGTGGTTCTCTCTCTGGGTTGCTGCCTGACCTGGAATCTAGCTTGATATCTCAGTTTATCCATCTGAAAATTAGGATAAAAATGGCAATTTTTAAAATAAGAGCTGGCAAGCAAGCATGTGGGGGCACACTGCTGATGTGTCTATGGGGGGATCGTGGCACCCAGTCCCATGGACTTGGCTGACTGAGACCCCTCTGCCCTGGCTAGGACCTGGGGCAGTGGGTTCAGTGTTCAGCTCCCCACAGGCATGGGACCTGTTCAGGGACATGTCCAAGCCAGCCAGGAGGGGAAGGGGTAGGTTACCCAGTCAGAGCCAATGCGCAGGTGAATGCCCACATAGGGCCGGTTGAGGTGGGCACGGATGTGGGCCTCTCCAGTCCTCACCATCTCGTCGGACCATACCATATACTTCTGGAGTGGCCTATGCTCCTCCAGGACAGGGAACTGGGCAGGAGCCCCTGGCAGGGCGAGCACTGGATGTTCCTTTGGAGAAAATCTAGACATGAGACAGCACGAGGGGAAGTCAGACAAAGGACACACAGACAACCTGGTCGCCACCCCCACAGGAAAAAGAATGGCATTGCACCATGCCCCAGGGACCCTGCGGAGGGGCCCCTGTAACATGCAAGAAGCTCAAGAGTCTGTGAAACCCCAACGGGCTGATAAGAAACCTTGGCAGTGGCAACAGGCACAATATGCAATACTGTCCCGCCACACGGAATTTATAACCCTCTTTGCTTGCTTAACAATTAAAAATTTACAGTAGAGCATTCCAACCTTTTGTATGTCATGCTGGCTTCCAATCTGTGGTGTGGTAATTCACTCCAGGGTTGGGTGTCTGGACGGAGCCTGTGCCCTTTTACCCACACGGCAAGATTGGGACATGCAGCTGCTTACAGAGGGCAATGGACAGGTCACACTCACAGGGGATGTGTACACTGGATGAGATCATGTGACACATATTTATTGATTGCCTACTTATGCTAGGGTCTAGGAACATTAGGGAGGCATGGTCCCTGCCCTCATGGAGAGCACCAGAGGTCCGCAGGTAACCCCATCATACCCTCCTGAAGTCTCTTCTTCCTCCTTGTACACTCTGCATCTTGTAATTATTCCACCCCATCTTTGCTGCTGGACACATGCTTCTAAAGGCAGTGCCTCCATGTCCTAGAACAGTGTCTGACACACATAAGAGCTCAGTAAATATCTGTGGGCTGAAGGAGTGGGGAGCAAACCTGTGTCCGCTCTGCAGCTGTACTCCGGTCTAGCCAGCTACATGAGACACCCTACAGGTCCACAAACTACAGTGCACTTTCACCCTAGGTCTCTGCACACTTCTTTCCTCTACCTAGAAAGACTTCCCTCTGCCAGCAAAGATCCTTTTTTAAAAATTACGAAATAGGCACAGCCAGCCACTCTGGAAAACAGTTTGGCTGTTTCTTATAAAGCCAGACATGCAATTACCACGTGACGCAACAGTTGAACTCTTGGGCATTTATCCCAAAGGAAAACCTATATTCACGCACAAACCAGTACACGAATGCTTACAGCAGCTTTACTCCTAATAGACAAAAACCGAAACAACTCCAATATCACTCAACAAGTGAATGGTTAAACTGCAGTGCAGCCATACCATGGAATGCTATTGTTGTAACAGGAATGAACCTCTGATACAGGCAAAACTTGGGGATGGATCTCAAGGGAGTTACGCTGCGTGAAAAAAGCCAACCCCAAAAGGTTACATACTGTGTGATTCCATTTATATAATATTTTTGAAATGACAAAATGGAGAAGAGATTAGTGGCTGCCAGGGACTAGAAACTGTGTGTGTGTGTGTGTGTGTGTGTTTAGGGAGGGGTGTGTGGTTCTAAACTTGGTTACACGAGCATACTTGTGAAGTTAGGACTGCTCAGTATCTTGACTGTGGTGGTGGGTACATAAACCTACATACATGATAAAACTGAACAGAACTAAATACACACATGCAGAAGTGAGAACAAGTAAAACTGAGGAAATCTGCGTATGATGGGTGGATTGTGTGTGAATGTCAACATTCTGGTTGTGATAGTATACTATAGTTTTGCAAAATGTTGACCATTGGGGGAAACTGGGTAAAGGGTACACGGGATCTCTCTGTACTATTTCTTACAACTGCATGTGCATCTACAATTACCCTAATAAAAATTCCAATAAAAAATTATTAAATATTTCAAAGCATGCAGGAAAATAAAGAATTTAACAATCAATATACTTGTGACCAAGATTACCAGGTATTAACACTTTCTTTGTTTCAGATTTTTTAAAATACACACCTAAATAAAAACGCTATGCTATCATTTCTTTCCCTGCTTTTCTTCCCCTTCCCAGAAGATACTGTGGTTTAATGCAGAATTACACTTTCACTATATATATATAAAGGTATTATTATGTGTGTGTTTATGGTAAAAGCATGGGCTATTGAGCCAGATGGCCTTGTTTTAATCCTGACTATGCCACTTACTAACTTGGGCAAGTGAAAACATTCTGTGCCTCAGTTTCCTTATCTGTGTAATAGAGCTGATAATAGTTCCTACCTCAGTTGAGAAGAGTAAATGGATTTCTACAAGCAAAGCATTTAGAACAGTGCCTGACATATAGAAAGCTCTTAGAAAATTCTACCACCATCACCATCAGCGTTTGCATGTAACCTATTTCAACTTTTAAAAATTTAACTTTATGTTTTAGATATTTGGCCATGTTTACTGTGTTAGTGTCTCTTGAAGTTTTCCATTTTGCATGAATAAACCACAAATAACCTCTCTAGTGACCTCCTGCTGGACAGCGAGGTTGTTCCAATCTTTGATTCATACAACAGTGCTATAATGGACATGCCACTTTCTTCACACCCAACCCAAATACCTTACTCCGAAAATACCACCAAGACCAGTCACCACTCCAAGCCTCAGCTACTAGGGAATGGCTTCCTGCTTTCCTACTTCTCCTTTGCTGCCTTCTGCACACTAATGTGCTCAAAAGCCATCTTCCCTGCTAGACCACCAAGCTGTGAGGGCAGTGGCTTCGTGATTCCTATACATGTCCAGGGCCCGTGCCAAGGAAGCACCTCTCTATATACAACATTTGTCTTGTCAGACTTCAGTACATAGACATCAACCATTCATTGAGCCTTATTATGTGGCAGGCCATGTTCAAGTTGCTTTATGTACATTAACTCATTTGATTCTCATGACAGCCCTGAGAGGTAAGTACTATCATTATTCTCACTTTACAGGTGAGGAAACTGAGACACAGAATGGTTAAGTAATTTACCCATAATCACACAGCTAGAAATTGGTGGAGCTGGGATTTGAATCCAGGCACTCTACTCCAGAACTATATCCTTAACTACTACACTTCACTGCCATCTCCCCCACTCCTGTCAGGGAGTACCTCAAAAGCTGAGTCTGTTGCTTATTTTTCTGATCTTCAGCCCCTAGCACACAATATGTACAATAAATATTTTTAGAATGAATGAATAAATGAGAATGATTCAGGGATCTCCCTAGAAAGACTAGATTAGGCGGTCAGGGTAAGAGGAGAAAGAAGTGAATATTAACTGAGCATCTATTATTGGCCAGAACCCCAGGTAAGCTCTTTTCAGATGTTACCCCAGAGGATTTCAAAAGGAAAGCAAGAGTTTGTGATCTCCCAGGGAGATGGAACATGAGGATAAAATCAGGACCTGTGCCCTCTCTGAACTCTTAGATAGAACCTACAGCTGGCCCTTGATGACCTCTGAATCTGGGATGTCTAACGCCTCCACCCAGATCTGGTTGGCACACAGTTTTCCCCCTGGGACATGAGCTCTGATCTGACAAGCAGCAAGAGGCCAAGGCTGATGTGCTTATTGTTCCCAATGAGGGAGGGGAGTGTTTTCTGGAAAGAAAGGGGGAATTAAGGGTCTTGTTTGGAAAAATGCTTGAGCAGCTCTATCTGCCCCTGACTGCCATAAGTGGTCACTGTCCAGCTGACAAAGTCGCTTTCTCCTGCTGCTGGGTACAGTGAACCTCTGGGGTTCCTCACCACCACACCTACTCTACTGACATTCCCCACAAAGCTGGGGTTTCTCTGTGCACAGCATCCACTTATGTGCTGAGTACATCTGTGGGACAGTGGCTGACCACCCGGCTGAGTGCAGAGGACAAAGGGACATGAACAAGGTGGAGCCTTGCTCTTGATGTCCTTGTCATGAAGAAATACCTTTCCCTCCAGCTCTTTGCATGGCTGGCTCCTTTTCATCCTTCAGGTCTCTTACAGACTGTGCCCCTCACTACAAATTCATAGTTGAAGTCCCAGTTCCCAATGTGATAGTATTAGGAGGTGGGGACTTTCAGGAGGTGACTGATGAGGTCAAGGGGTGGGACCCATACAATGGGATTAGTGCCATTACAAGAGACCAGAGAGCTTGTTTGGTCTCCAACACATGAGGATACAAAAAGAAGGCAGCAAGCCAAAAGGCTCACCAGAACCCAACCGAGGCTCTCTCCAGAACCTGGCCAGGCTGGCACCCTGATCTCCAACTTCCCAGCTTCCAGAGCTGTGAGAAATAAATGTCTGTTGTATAAGCCCCAAGTCTGTGGTATTTTGTTTTCACAGCCCAAGCTGACTGAGACAAGGGCTCAGCTGTGCCAATCACACATCACCTGTTTATGCCCTTCATAGCACTATGTCTTCTGGGACTATCTTAGGTAAAAGTTTATTCACTGCCTCCCTCACTAGACTCAGCTCCATCAAGGCAGGGGTCTTATCTGCCTTATTCTTAGTTGTATCCCCAGCATCCAGACCAGTACTTGACACTCAGCCAGTGCTTCTTAAATATGTGTGGAAGGAAGGGAGAAAGGAGTGAAGGCAGGCAGCTGCCCGGGTAGCCCTCCCAAACTGCCTCCAGGGAGCTCATCTTCCCTACGAGTCTTCCTGTTTCAAAGATGTGGCTGTAAGGCACAGGCTTCCCCAGGTCCCCACACAGTTCCTACAACTCAATGAACTCAAACAAAACTATGGGGCAATGAACAAATGTTCCAGCAACATTCTTCAACCTATGCACTCATGCAACAGTGTCCTTCTCTTCCAACCAGGATTGTGTGCTTTTTCTGGCTTTCTGGAATTTGCTTTTGGAGCTGCTTTTAGAGCTGGTGCCTTTTTTTTCCTGGCATTTTTGTTAACAGGGACAAATCTCTAATCTTCTGAGGGCAGGTCTGCCTTCTGGTAACAGCGCCACATCATTCAGAGCTGAATAGGAGAAATTAGTATGTCATCAAATAGGAATGCCCTATCTGGAATCAGCCATGAACTAGCTCTGAAGCTAAGTCCCAAACAGGAATTGGCAGCTTTTAAAGGCACAGCTGTTTTTTTCCACAGTGATTAAGAATGCGTGCTCTGGCAGACTCCAAGAAGGGACTAGCGGTTACCAAAGGGGAGGGGTGGGGAGGGCAGATGGGGATTGAGGGGTATCATGACTAGTGCACATGGTGTGTGTGGGATCACAGGGAAGACAGTGTAACACAGACAAGTAGGGACTCTGTGGCATCTTAATACACCGATGAACAGTGACTGCAATGGGGTGGAGGGGGGGACTCAATAATACGGGTGAATGTAGCAAGCACATTGTTTTTCTTGTGAAATCTTCATAAGAGTGTGTATCAATGATACCTTAATAAAATAAAATAAAATAAAATAAAGAATGGGTGCTCTGGAGTCAGAATGCCTGGGTTCCAATCCTAGCTCTGTTACTTCAAATTGTGTGACCTTGGACAAATGATGTCACTCCTCTGCTTCATATCCTTAAGTGTAAAGCACAGATGACAGTAACACCCATCCTACAGATTTGTGGAAGGATTAAATGAATTATTACCTTAAAACACTTAGGTAGGGAAATGAACTTAGAATAGTGTCTGGCACACAGCAGGCACTAAATAAATAAAATTGAAATCAATAAAAAAACTCTTGTTATCTATTGAAGACTTACATACAGACCGCAGCTGCTCTCTAAAAGCTGCATTACCTTGAGCAAATGATTAAACCTCACTGAGCTCAGCTTCCTTACCTGTCACATGGAAGTTGATATACACTTCATGAAATTTCACAAAGGCTGAAATAAAATAAAGCATGAGAATAATAGCAACAGCTAACATTGGTTGGTCCACTACCACGTGTCATGCGCTTTATACACTAGGAGGCAGACACCATGGTGCTCCTTCCATTAAACCAAGGAGGAAATTCAGGCCAGATGGCTTGATGGGCTTGCTCAGGGCCACCTAAGAGGGAGGACTGGGTCAGAGCTCAGTTCTGTCTTATCCTGAGCCTGTGCTCCTTTCTCTATATCATATCCTGGGCCTACTAAATACCAAGTGCTGCAACCAAGTATAAAGTCATAAATTCCTCATACCTCCTATCTCCTAGTCTGAATTCTCAGCCCACACTCTTACTTGCCATGCTATAGCATCAACTGTGTTACACTGTTACAACTAGACTGTAGCTCACTGAAGGCTGGGGCTGGGTCTTCCTGACCTTTATACATCTCCTCTGGCCTCTGAGTACTGGTCTCATACATGACAGACGCTCTATAAATATTTCACAGCCTGTGCCTATGCCCTGCTAACCTATTTTTTTTTAATAGGGCCTACTGGAGTGCAATTAATAAAGCACATACAATCATTAGCAGGATGACATCACTTCTTAGTCTGCACCTGAGGCTGTTCTTTAGAAGCTGCTTCTAATTTTCACCTTGTGAAGAGGAAGGTAACAGGGGAGTGATTCTCACGCGTAGAGGAGGAAATTGAGACTCATGTGACTGTACAATATTCTTTTTATGACATCTTTTATCGGCTGATAAACTCTTGCTCAACCTCATGGCAGGTCAATGTCCCATCATGTCAGGCCATGAGCTGGGAACAGATCACACAGGATCCCAAGTTCAACAGACAGAACAGCTGCACCTTTGGTCTCATACATCAGGGTGTGGTTGGGGGGGAGGGCCAGGAAAGTGCTGAATGCCCATGGGCCCCATGCCCTTCCCCAAACCTAGCAATGCTACCCCTCCAAGTACCTCTGGATCCATTGGTCTTTGTAGGAGGCGCTGAAGGAAATGCCTGTGAAAAGCTCTGACTTGTTGAAACTCACATGAAACTGATCCCAAAATGGGCCAAAGGGGTTTCCCTCCTGTGGAAAGAGTTGTCAGAGGCTTACTGAGGGGGAGAGAAAGCCATCTGGGGCTGAGATCAATGAACTGTGGGTTGGGAGACCCTAGGTGATTTGACTTTGGCTGAAACACCCATCCTGGATGGCCCAGTAGGAATGTCACTTTATAATTCCTGGGCTGGGGGCTAAGGAGATCAGCTGGCCTCCAGTCTGGTTTCCAGTAAACGTTCACCACAGTGTCTGAAGGAGTCTTTCCTGCTGACCCTACAACACTGGTGAGGGTAGGAGGAAGAAGGGGACCTTGGATTCAGCACGGTAGATTAGAGAGAGCTTTGAGAGACTTTCAAGACCAGCTAGCATAATGCCCTTATTTTCAAATCAGGGCCAGACAGGGTAAAACACTTGCCCAAGGTCAAAGAGCAAGTAAAGGCAGTGTTGGAGCTGTTAGCCAGGTCTCCTTCCTCAAATTCATGTCTCCTCCAACCACCCTCCCCAAACTTTTAGTATAAGCACTGAAAGACACACTGGGGATGTCTTATTTCCAAAGTGTCAGAAATTTACAAATTTCTTCTGAAAAAATACAACAGCTTCTCATTTACCTGCTGAGAGGCAGGGAAATATGCAAGTTAAAGAGGGTGGACTATGGAGCCAAATTACGTAGGGTTGAATCCCAGTGTGCCACTTGTTTGCTCTGTGATCTTGGGCAGAATACTGAACCTCTCTGTCACACTCAGTATCCTCTCTGTAAAATGGGGATATGATATACTTTCCCATGGACCAATTTGAGGATTAAGTGAGTTAGTATGTAAAGCACTTGGTACAGTATCTGGCATGTAGTAAGTGCAAGTGCAATGGAGTATTCATTATTATTACTTACATAACACTTCACAGTTTATAAGTACTCTTTTTTTTTTTTTTTGAGAGGGTGTCTCTCATATTTATTGATCAAATGGTTGTTAACAACAATAAAATTCTGTATAGGGGAGTCAATGCTCAATGCACAATCATTAATCCATCTCAAGCCTAATATAAGTACTCTTATACCTGGACCTCATGACACTTTATGAGCAAGACAGAACAGGGACTGGCATCTTCATTTTGCAGGCAGAAATAAAGGCTCAGAGAAAGCAGAAGTCCTTTGCCCAAAGTGACACAGCTGACAAAAGCCAGAGTGGGACTTAAATCTCCATCTTTCTGTTCCAAGTCTTTCTGGTGCCCTCCCTCCCATATTGCCATCACATATTGTCTCAGGGGCCTAGAGGACACGGAAAAGGCAGAAAGGGCCCCCCCCAGACCAACGGGACCCACCTTCATGGGACACGTCTTCTTATCAGGGCTTCGCTGGGCTGCCACCTCAAAGCAGTATGCCACCCGCCTCTCAGGGGGCCAGTAGGTGGGTGCCAGTTTCTCCATGAAGTCCTCTAGGCTGATGACCCGATGGTAGGCCCGGAGGGGCTCCAGCTTGAAGTATATCTGGTAGGACACATGAAGCTACAGGAAAAGAAAGAAAAAGAGGGGCAGGGGTCTCTCCTCAGTATCCAAACGGCTGTTTTTGAGACATTTATTAAAATCACACACTCCAAGATCCAGACAGCTCAGAACATAGCAATGAAAAACTTCTGTCAAAAGCCACCAAGTTAGGACAGAGACAGGGTAGGAGAAGACATCTGCAAACTAAAGAACAAACAGTAGTATCCCTTGTGTTAAAAAATGCCTGCTGATCTATAAGGACAAGTGATGTAAGAGAAAATGTGGGCAAAGGATAGGAGTGAACAACTCACAATAAAGGAAATTCTAAGAACCAATACACTCAAAAGATGTGCACGCTCACTAGTAATTAGGAAAAAGCAAATTACAATTACCATAAAATAGCAGTTCTTACCCATGAGACCAGCAAAAATTAAAAGCTTAACTCTAACTGTTGGAAAAGTGGTGACAAAACAGGGACTGTTGTACATGGCTGGATGCATGTACATTTTTGAATAATCACTTTGGAATGGAATCTTGCAGCATCTAATACAATTTAAACTCTTCCTTCCACCTCTAGGTATTTGTCTTAGAGAAGTTCTTGCACTTTTCACCAGAAGATGGGAACAAGGATGCTTAATAACATAACAAAATACAGGAAAGAAATTGGAAGGAAGGAGTCACACCAAAGACGTTAAAACCATGACAGCGGTTTCTCTGGGGCTGGGCGTTAGTCTCAGGAGCCAAGTGAGCCTTTCCCTTTTAACAACTTTATTTGTAACATTTTACCTCTTTCACTAAAAGAAAGAAAAGATGAAGCAAAGATGAGAAAATGTTAATGATCATCACTGCTAGTGGTGGGTACATGAATGGAGATTATATTAATAATCTCTTATTTTTAGGGATTTAAAACATTTTCTTAGAACACCATGGAATAAAATTTAGACTTTATCCTACAGGTCAGCGTTCCCGAGAGTGGTCCACTAGTTCAGGTGAATAAAGAGTTCTGCAATAAAAAGGCTCCAGAGTTACATAGACCTGGGAAATGCTGTGTTAAGATGGTTAACTACAGGACTTCGCAGGGCCTTGAATATGCTAATGTACATTTTGACTCTCCAATTTTGCAGGGATTGGGTATTGAGAATATAATTTGCTAAACTAACTTAATCACCACACCCTTCCTCCAAGAGCCACTGGCCTTCTAATGAATTCCAGACCTTTGGAATCTTAACTACTAGCAACAAGGTCTTGCTGAAGAATTTTAGGCAGAAACAATATGAAATTTGCCTTTTTGAAAGAGCACTCTGGTGTGGAGAATAGAATATACTTATGTTAAGATTAGAGGAGGGAAAGGAATTGGGAGACTACCGTAACAGTCCTTTTATTTGACAAAGTATTTATTCACCATGTATTTTTAGCACCTCATGCAAGTGCAAGTGAACATGGAAAGGCATGGACAGGTTAGAATATGTAAAGGAAGGCAAAGGAGCGAGTAAAGGGAGGCATTTAGGAGGACCTCAAGGGTTTCCTGGCTTGGTGTCCAAGGTGAATGGAGGTGACATAAATTAAGGCTGGGAATAGAGGAGGTGACACAGATTTGAGGGGGATGATGCCCAAGTTCTGGCTTTGTGAATCTGAGATATTTATGGGACATCCAAATAGACTCAAGGGTCTAGAAGTCAGAAACACAGGCCTGTGAGGAGAATCTGGCCACAGATAAATTTAGGAGGTATGTGGAGAACAGTGAAAGCCACATGAGTCAGTGTATAGTGATGCAAACAGTGGTAATAATAGCAACTAATATTTACTGTGTGCTGACTTCGCACCACATGCTATACTCATCACATCTCATGAACTTGCTCAACCATTTCCAGTTTACTTATGAAGAAACCCACGTGGAGGGAACGTAGATAACTCATCTGAGGTCATCTACCTAATAAGCAAACAGACAGCACAGACACACTAACATTTAAACAGTGGGGGGAGAGAGAGGAGCCCCAGTACAGGGCAAGGAGGAAGATGCTGAGAAGTCGTGCTAAAGCAGGAACAGGCTGTCTTAGAAGCCAGGGGGGTAAAGAAGTTCAGGAAAGAGAGAGGCTCATAGATCAGGTGCTAACAAGAGGTCAGCTGAGATAAAGACTGAGAAATGACCTCAGATTTGGCAATTCTGAGGTCCCTTGTGATCTCTGTGAGAACAGTCCTAGTGGGGAAAGGGAGGCCAACTGGGGCAGTTGAGTAAACTGTAGAAAGCAAGAAGTGGAGACTCAAAAAGACTTGGCTGGGAAGACAAGGTGAGAGATAGCAAGCTGGCCAGAGGGAGTTGAAAGGGCAGTATCTGACTGTAACTGTGAGTGCAAAAAATCGGAACATCAATGGCTCCAGTTAGTGAGGACTTCCTATATCCTGAGCACTTTACACTGATGAGCACTGTTGATCCTCAGACAGAGGCATACAACGTTCAAGGCATGTCACAGCCACGACCTCATTATGCAAGGTTGCAACAACTATTAACAGGCTAAAGAAGAGGAAACTGAGGCACAAAAAGGTCAAGTATCCTGCCCAGGCTACACAGTTAGTGAGTGACCCAGCTAGTCTATGATCTCTGGTACTTTGGCTTTTAACCTCTATTTAATCTCTGTTAAAAACCTCTCTAAAAGTGTACACACATAAACAGAATCAGAAATGAGAAAGGAAAAATCACTATGGACACCACAGAAATGCAAATTAATTATTAGAGAACACTATGAAAAAATATATGCTAACAAACTGGATAACCTAGAAGAAATGGACACCTTTCTAGAACAATACAACCTTTAAGACTGACCCAGGAAGAAACAGAAAATCTCACCAGATCAATTACCAGCAATGAAATTGAACTGGTAATCAAAACACTACCTAAGAACAAAACCACTGGACCAGAAGGTTTCACTGCTGAATTTTATCCAACATTTAGTGAAGACCTAATACTCATCCTCTTTTAAGTTTTCTAAGAAGTACAAGAGGAGGGAATACTCCCAAACTCATTCTACGAGGCCAACATCACTCTAATATCAAAACGAGGCAAAGACACCACAAAAAAAGAAAATTACAGACCAATATCCCTCATGAATATAGATGCAAAAATACTCAACAAAATATTAGCAAACTGAATTCAAAAATACACGAAAAAGATCATCCATTGTGATCAAGTAGTATTTATTTCAGGGAAGCAAGGATGGTACAACATCTGAAAATCCATCAACATCATCCACCACATCAACAAAGAGGACAAAAATTACATGATCATTTCCATAGACGCTGAAAAAGCATTTGACAAAATTCAACATTCACTCACGATAAAAACTCTCAACAAAATGGGTATAGAGGGCAAGTACCTCAACATAATAAAGGCCATATATGATAAACCCACAACGAACATCATACTGAACAGTGAGAAGCTGAAAGCTTTTCCTCTAAGATCGGGAACAAGACAGGGATGCCCACTCTCCACACTGCTATTCAACACAGTACTGGAGGTCCTGGCCATGGCAGTTAGACAAAACAAAGAAATATAAGGAATCCAGATTGGTAAAGAAGTCAAACTGTCACTATTTGCAGATGACATGATATTGTATATAAAAAAACCTAAAGATTCCACTCCAAAACTACTAGAACTAATAACAAAATTCAGCAAAGTTGCGGGATACAAAATTAACACACAGAAATCTGTGGCTTTCCTATACACTAACAATGAACTAATAGAAAAAGAAATCAGGAAAACAATTCCATTCACAATTGCATCAAAAAGAATAAAATACCTAGGAATAAACCTAACCAAGGAAGTGAAAGACCTATACCCTGAAAACAAGACATTCTTAAGAGAAATTAAAGAGGACACTAACAAATGGAAACTCATCCCATGCTCCTGGCTAGGAAGAATTAATTGTCAAAATGGCCATCCTGTCCAAAGCAATATACAGATTCAATGCAATCCCTATCAAATTACCAACAGCATTCTTCAACGAACTGGAACAAATAGTTTAAAAATTCATATGGAACCACCTAAGACCCCGAATAGCCAAAGCAATCCTGAGAAGGAAGACTAAAGTAGGGATGATCTTGCTCCCCAACTTCAAGCTCTACTACAAAGCCACAGTAACCAAGACAATTTGATACTGGCACAAGAACAGACCCACAGACCAGTGGAACAGAATAGAGACTCCAGACATTAACCCAAACATATATGGTCAATTAATATACGATAAAGGAGCCATGGACATACAATGGGGTAATGACAGCCTCTTCAACAGTTGGTGTTGGCAAAACTGGACAGCCACATGTAAGAGAATGAAACTGGATCATTGCCTAACCCCATACACAAAAGTAAATTCGAAATGGATCAAACACCTGAATGGAAGTCATGAAACCATAAAACTCTTAGAAAAAAACATAGGCAAAAGTCTCTTAGACACAAACATTAGTGACTTCTTAAGGAACATATCTCCCCAGGCAAGGGAAACAAAAGCAAAAATGAACAAGTGGGACTATACCAAGCTGAAAAGCTTCTGTACAGCAAAGGACACCATCAATAGAACAAAAAGGCATCCTACAGTATGGGAGAATATATTCATAACTGACAGATCCAATAAAGGGTTGACATCCAAAATATATAAAGAGCCCATGCACCTCAACAAACAAAAAGCAAATAAGCCAATTAAAAATTGGGCAGAGGATCTGAACAGACAATTCTCCAAAGAAGAAATTCGGATGGCCAACAGGCACATGAAAAGATGCTCCACATCACTAATCATCAGGGAAATGCAAACTAAAACCACAATGAGATATCACCTCACACCAGTAAGGATGGCCACCATCCAAAAGACTAAGAACAACAAATGCTGGTGAGGATGCGGAGAAAGGGGAACCCTCTTACACTGCTGGTGGGAATGTAAGCTAGTTCAACCATTGTGGAAAGCAATATGGAGGTTCCTCAAAAAACTCAAAATAGAAATACCATTTGACCCCGGAATCCCACTCCTTAGAATTTACCCAAAGAATACAACTTCTCAGATTCAAAAAGATGTATGCACCCCTATGTTTATCACAGCCCTATTTACAATAGCCAAGAAATAGAAGCAACCTAAGTGTCCATCATAGATGAATGGATAAAGAAGATGTGGTTTATATTACACAATGGAATATTATTCAGCCATAAGAAGAAAACAAATCCTACCATTTGCAACAACATGGATGGAGCTAGAGGGTATTATGCTCAGTGAAATAAGCCAGGTGGAGAAAGACAAGTATCAAATGATTTCACTCATCTGTGGAGTGTAAGAACAAAGAAAAAACTGAAGGAGCAAAACAGCAGCGGAATCACAGAACCCAAGAATGACTAACAGTTACCAAAGGGAAAGGGACTGGGGAGGATAGGTGGGAAGGGAGGGATAAAGGGCGGGGAAAAAGAAAGGGGGCATTACGATTAGCATGTATAATGTGGGGGGAGGCATGGGGAGGGATGTGCAACACAGAGTAGTGACTCTACAGCATCTTACTACACTGATGGACAGTGACTGTAAAGGGGTTTGTGAGGGGGGCTTGGTGAAGTGGGGGAGCCTAGTAAACATAATGTTCCTCATGTAATTGTAGATTAATGATACCAAAAAAAAAGGCATATGCATCCCTATGTTTATTGCTGTACTAGTTACAATAGTCAAGGTAGGAAGCAACCTAAGTGTCCATCAGTACATGAATGGATAAAGAAGATGTGGTACATATACACAATGGAATATTATTTAGCATAAGAAAAAAACAAATACTACTATTTGTAACAACATGGATGGAGCTAGAAGGTATTATGTTCAGTGAAATAAAGTAGGGGGAGAAAGACAAATACCAAATGATTTCACTCATTTGTGGAGTACAACAATGAAGCAAAACTGAACAAAACAACAGGAGACTCACAGACTCCAAGAAGGGACTAGCGGTTACCAAAGGGAAGGGGGTGGGGAGGGAGGCAGAAGGGGATTAAGGGTATTATGATTCCCACACATAATGTAGGGGGGATCACGGCAAAGGCAGTATAGCACAGAGAAGACAAGTAGTGACTCTATAGCATCTTACTATGCTGATGGACAGTGACTGCTATGGAGTGTAGAGGGGGACTTGATAATATGCATGAATATAATAACCACAATGTTGCTCATGTGAAACCTTCATAACATTGAATATCAATGATATCTTAACAAAAAAAAAACCTCTCTAAATACAGACACACAAAGGGAAAAATAAAACCTATGTAGAAAAAAACTGTAAGAATGAAGCATAGTGTTTTGTATGTACCAAACATAATTTTTAAAAGTTTATTAAAAACTTTAAAATGAATATATTAAAAATTAATTCAGTTCCTAGTGTCAGGCCCCTGGAGACACAGTGTGAACAAAGACAGACACAGGACTAGTAGAAGACACAAAGCCTAAGGAAGGAACTATAAGATGCTAAGCATCACCATGCTAAGGGAACTCCTTGATGGGGTGAGGCGCAGTGCTCGAGCAGGACTACCTGAGTTTATGGCTTTGAACACATATGCTTCAGTTTCTCCTTGAAACCTGATTACAGCACTCATCAGCCTTTGACCAACGGGATACACAGAGGGTGGGACCAACCAGGGCCGGAAATGGGGCTTCAGGAAATAGAGTCAGACAGACATGGGTTTGAATTTCAGCTCTACTATTCCCAAACTGTGTGACCTTGGGCAAGTTACCTAACCTCTCTAAACCTATTTCCTCACAGGGATGTGATCAGGGAGAAAAGAGCTAATCCTCAGAGAGAGCTCAGAACTGCCTGGCAGACAGCAGGCACTAGATAAATGTTAGCCAGTTAACCAGGAAGACCATTCTGGGTAGGGAGTGGGGCAAGCTCAGAGGGGTGGGGAGGTAAAGCCCAGGGAAGGACTTGGGGTCAAGCAGAGGTGAACACGATTTGGGTAGGATGGATATGAGCCAAGGTCAGCAGAGGTACTCACATTGGTGAAGGGAGGCTTGTGATGCTGGTATTCAATCCAAGGGGGTACTGCGAGGGTGCGGTTCAACAGCTTTGCGAATGCCAGGGAGCCCAAAAAGTGATCAGCCTGGTTCCCAAAGCGCCCTGGATGGTACATTGTGGATAAGGTCAGTCCTGGGGCATTGAGGGCATGGGGCATGCAAGGCCCAGAAAAGTTGCAGAGCCAGGGATGCAGACAGCCAGGACACCAAGGGGCGCCAGGGGAGCTGGCAGCATCAGATCAAGACTGGACTCCTGGGTCTGACATTCAAGGCCCTTCAAGACCTGCCCCTTCTGCCTCAGCCTCTCCAGGTTCCTTGCTATTTCCCAAACATGCTCCACACTTTCCATCCCCACCCCATGCCTTTGCTCTAGCTGTTCCCTAAGCCAAGAGTGCCCTTCCACATTTATCTCCACTTACCTATGCATGAAAGGACAATTGTGACACCTTATTCATTGGGACCCTTTCACCAATTCCCTGCCATACTCAGTCCCCTTCCTGTCTCCCACCTTGGATTTGAATTACTTATGATCCTTCACTTTTCCTCAAACACCGTTCCCACTTCCCAGCCTTTGGACAGGCTGTTTCCTCAGCTTATGAATGCATCAGGGGCAAGGACCCTGTCTGATTCATTTTGTTATCCTCAGCATGGCATTCATTCATTCATCCCACAAATATTATTGAGAGGCTACAATGTGCCAGCTCTCTGCTAGGTGCTAGAATACAGGAATGAGCAAGAAAGACAAGGTTTTGTCCTCGAGGCACTCACAGTCCAGCTAGGGAGACATTAAACATGCAAACATACAGTGACAAATTTTGATAATTTCAAGAATAAAATGAAAAAAGTTTGGTGATGGAGTAAATAGGAGGATATTATTTGGGTTTAGGTCAGTTAAGTCCTTTCTGGTGATCTTTAAGCTGAGGCCTGAGGAATGAAGAGGAGGGTGTTCCAGGCAAAGGGACTGGCACAGGTAATAAATAATAGCACAGGCTGCAGGATCTGAGTAAGTGTGAGGATTAGAAAAGGGTAAGTTGGCTGCAGCTGGAGGATCTGGGGCAAAGGGAGTGGTGGTGATGATGGGTGGAGTGCCAAATCATCATGGTGTGGATCTGGAGGCTGGAGAATTTCAAGAAGGAATGACTTTTACAATGATGACCCACCACCCCACTTAAACTGCACCCCTCAACCAGCTTTTAGAGTGTCCTTTTTCATTTTCCCATAGCATTCATCCTCTTTAAGACAATACGTGATTACTTATTTTTATGTTTATCTTTTATTGCCTGTCTTCTTTAAAATGAAGGTTCTACAAGGGCATAGTTTTGTCTTATCACTGCTGTAACCCCAGAGCACAAAACAGAGCTGCTCAGAGTGGGCGTCCTATACATACTTGTTGAATGAATGAATGAATCCCCTAGAGCCAGCGTTGGGTCAGTGACATCAAGTTCTGCCTCCCTAACTCCATTTACTGGAGTCTGGGCTGGCTAAGACCCAGCACAAGACATGTAACCTCTCTTGGTCTTAGTTTTCTCATCTGCCAGATGGAAAGTTGGACACAGGACCTGAGGAATTGCGGCAGAGAGGCAAAGGGCAGGCGCTGCCCCTGTGCTGTTCTTTCCCGGATCTGTGAAGGTCTCTGGGCGTCTCAGAAGAGTGGCTTCGCCTCTCTGGGCCTCAGTTTCCCCCATTTAAGCAGGGGGCTCGGGAGGCCTTACCCATGCATGGGCAGTAGAGCAGGTAACCGGCCGGGTCCCAGGAGCCCGCGGGCAGCCCCGGGAGCGACAGAAGCAGCAGGAGAAGAGACACAAGCAGCGGCAGGGGTGACCGTGCTCGCGCGGCGGCGCCCATGACGGCTCCCGAACCTAAACGCGCCGCGGCGAGGGGATAGGGAGGGAAAAAGGAGCGCGAGCGTCCGCCCCGCTCCCGGCGGTCCCCGCGCGCCGCCCGCGCACCGCCCCGGCCGCTCTAGCAGGCGGGCGGGCGGAACCATAGAGAGCTCGCGGCACCGCCCCCTCCACTGCCCGAGCGCCCGCTCGCGCGGCTCCCACAATGCACCGCACAATGGCCCGACCGCCGCCACTACCGGGGCCTGAGAGGGCCTGGCGGAGCCCGAGCGCGGCCCGGCCCGCAGCGCGGGGCCCCGAGCGCGGTGAGTGCCGGCGAGGGCCCCGGGGGACGGCGGGGAGCGGGGCGGGAGGCCGTCTCGCTGCGCCCGCGCGCCCGCCACCCGGAGCGGCGCCCCCTCTCATCTCTGGCCCCTCAGCGCGGTCGCCCACACCCCTGACCGGGGCCCTCTCTACGCCTGCCCGGGCCCAGATAGGCCCCAGGGTGACGGAAACTCTCCTCGTACCCGATAGTTGGGCCTGGGGGACCCGAAGAAACCCCACTGGCCCCCTCCCTTCCGAGACCTAGAGACGCAGCTCTGGGGGGTCCCCCATTCCCGACCTCCAGGCTCCCTGAAGACCTAGATAACGCACTAGTGACCTTCCCAGGGACCCGGGTCTGGGGGACGCAGATAAGCTGCACCTGCTCCCTCCCCTCAGACACGCCTACCGCGACCCACACAACCCCCTTTCCTGCTCCAAATAGGCCGCTCTTTACCCTCTTTCATTTTCCAGAACCACATAACCCCTTTGAGGCTTTCCTCAAATACCTGATTCTGGAGAACCCAAATAAGCCCTACCAATAGGTCCCTCCTCGGTGACTGTTCTCCCAGACCTCAGACATCATCCGTCCGGATGCCTATTTTGAGACTCTCTTGAAATATTGGGAATTTACTTCTGACTCTCTTCAATCTCTGGAACCCTCCAACCCTTGTAATCCCTCTCTTTCTTTTGGAGGGGGCGTCCCTTAGGACCCAGTTAACTTGCTCATGATTCCTTATCCTACTTGCTCTTCCTTCCCAACCCTGAGACCTCCTCAGACTTCCCCCTAAATTTCTGTCTCTTCTTGGGCAGCCATCCTCTCTCATCACTGCTAGCCCCAGGGGAATTTAACCTGCCCCGTCACTCGGTGGGGGGTGGTTCTCTTTTCCAGGAGCCAGGCTATTCCCTGCAAATCCAATCCCATACTGTGGCCCCAGCTTGGTGGGGTAGAGGGACCTGTATTAAGGTGGAAGATAAGGGGGCAGCCTGTTCTAGGGGAGTTGTTGGTGCTTGCACCTGCACCTGCAAGTGTAGCCTGGCTGCTGGCTTGTGTGTTTTTCCACCTGTCAGCTTGGAACTGTGATAGAGTCTGGCCTTGGGTTTCTAACCCTTCCCCGCAAGGTGAGGCCACCATAGTGGGTGTCCAAAAAGTTTCCTCTTCATGAAAATTGGGCTGTGGTGAGTTGTAGCCATTTGCTCAAGGCCTCCTCAGGAGAGGAAGGCAGCAGGGAATCAGAGGAAATAGTGACAAAAGGACTCAAAAGAGGGCCCATCTACACTGACAGAAGAACTAGCAGCCTGAGAGTAAATCCAACCCCTGTTAATCCTGTTTGATGTCTCTTGGAATGATGCAAGTCATTGAGACTCTCCAGCCTCCCTGTAACTTAATTCTCCCACCACTCAAGTGTGTGCGTGAGAGAGGAGTGAGGGGGACAGCTATTCCCATTCCCCCCTTTCCTCCTCACTGTTGCCCAGCCAGTCAGTGTGTGCCTTTTGGATTTGTTTCTGGTGCCCAGGTCAGGAACTGTTTTTTTTTTTGTTTCTTTAAGTCTATTTATAATTTCCCATTTGCTATTTTTGGGTTCTGCCTAAGGGAAGATTCTGTCCACCCAAGGAACGTTCCTGGGTGTGTTTCCTCCTCGGCAGGTGTTGAATTGAGTTCTTCAGCTCCCTGAGTAGCTCTTGGGCAGGAGGGATAAAAGCTATTTTAGGGTAGTCACTGAAGTGGAGCTGTTAATCCTCTGTGCGTCTCTCTAGTTAAGAACACTTAGATAATTAACCCTTTCCTTGCTGCAGGGGGGCTATTTCTCAGCAGTTTGGGGGAGGGTTGGGAGAATTCAAGTGCAGCAGCAGAAGGTGGGAACATGCAACTCAATACAAAGGCAAAGATAATAGCTGCCTTTTGTTGGGTACTTAAAGCAAACCAAGCCCTGTGCTGAGCCCTTTGCATACCTGACTAAAATAATCCTTACAACAAGCCTGTGAGGTAAGTATTTTTAGCTTTACAGATGAGGAAACAGGCTAATAATGGAGAAAGAACGCAGTTTCTATAGAGATGATGTAACACCATAAAAACTATGGTTTCATCAGAAGGCAGCAGGCATCATGGTACACAACAGAGGACAGACTAGGAAGCAATTTGTCTCCTTTCAGCTCCCAAAGGGGGCCATTCAGTTTTTAGCGAGTATTTGTATTTGGGGGATGGAGCCTTCATAATAGAACAGCTTCCTAAAGTGAGAGACCTCTGGCCCAGGATAGGTACCGAAGGGAAAGTGAGGGGGACTTCGTGAGAGGGGATGTGCTGAAGGCTAATTGTAAGGGGAAAGGGAAGGCAGTCTTCTGGGGAGATGTTGGGAAGGGAAGGAAACTCACTCTGAGGCCTGAGAAGTAACACTGAAGGGGAAAAAAAAGAAGTACTACTCAGGCCCCATGTGGAAAAGAGGCAGACGCAACTCAGACCTCAAGAGACAGTACTGCACGTACTCGCACATTATGTCCGATCCTTTCAAGAGTATTATTTCACTTAATCCTCCATGAGAATATTATAGGTAAGGAGAATACATCTCTATTTTAAAAACCAAGGACCTGAGGTTCAGAGAAACAAAGTAACCTGCCCGTGGTGTCACAGCCAGTAAGTGGCAGCTCTTCTGAGAGCAAGTCCAGGGTTCTTTCCACGCTGCGCACCTCTTCAGATCTGGCGCCAGAAGGAATCTTAGAATGAAAATACACTGAGTTAGACTAGTTATTGGGAGGGATTGATTGTGTTTGTTTTATGGGAACAGGTTCTGTCAGCTTCTCTGAAGTTGTTAAGGTTAGAGTGTGAGGCCAGAAGAGTGGCTTTGAGCGAGAAGCAGAGTTCTTTCACAGTTTAGCTGAGGAAGAAGGCTGAAGGAATAGGCTTTCCAATAATGTGAGAGAGGCTCAGGAATCTTCCTGGAGGAGAGGAGTTAGCAGACAAAGGGCAGAGGGAAAGAGACTAGATCCCCAAAAGGCTTTCTAAGGTAACACTAGCAGGCTTGGTTTTCCAGCAGCCTGTCGGTGACTGTAGGTAAGGACTTGCTCTGTGCCTTTTGAAAAGAACAGGAGGAATAGGATCATGGCATTTGTTGGCTGTTTTCTTTAAAGCCCTAGTCCTCTTAAATGCAGATCAAGGCGAGCACATGGCTTGGCCTTCCTCCTTTGGTTCTATCAGTACAGCCTCGTGGGCTCTTCTTCCCGCCGCCGCCTCCTTCCTAGAAGCCCATTACTCACTCTTTCAGTAGCAGCCTGCTACACTGCTGTGTCTTGTTTGTGCTTGTTCAGGAGAACAGATGAGGTGGACGTGTGGGAGGTGGGGGACGTACCATTCTCTTTCTGAGTTTGTGCGGAATTTCCGGGGCTAGGCTCCCTTCTCACAGGGGGTAAAGTGTGTGACTTGCTTCCCTCTCGTTGCCATTCCCAACTTTCCAGAGGGCTGAGGTACGCAATTTCAGTTATCAAGGGGGAGAAGAATTTGACATAGAAGGCAGGGGAAATTCCCTCCATAGTAGATGATGAAACTCATGCTTGCTCTACCCAATTCCAAGGTGCACTAATCACTGGTATTATAAACAGGTAATTCTACCCTTGGGAAGAAGGAGAGGACTTAAACGTGAACGCCAGATGTCAGAAGCCTTTGAGGTTTATAGTGAAGCAGGCAAATACCCATGATTATTTGAAGGCTCAAGTGGGACTAATTCTTTCCCCGCTCCAGCACATGATGCATGCAAAATGCCCCCAACTTTGTCCAGATCTTTCTAGGCAAATCTCCATTCGTGATAGGGAAATGTTTATCATATTACATTGCAGTGTTTCTTCAACAAGCGGAATGGTTCCTGAACAGGACGTGGCTCGTGTTAATAATGAGCAAAGCTCTCTAGGGCATTTATCGCTGATCCCATCATCTCGTTCATGGCCAGTCTGTTGGATGAATGGTCACTGTAAGCAGCAGGTGCTAATGAGCTGAGCAAGCATTCTGTGGCCCAGAGCTAGTTTGTGTGGTTGGAGCCCTCCCCTGATTCTCGTGGACAGTCCCCACATACCCACATTGCTCCCTTCACATGGAAAAGCCTCATGACCAAATTTTGGCATGACCTCTTCAAAGAGCATCCCTCTGTAGTAACAGGTTGCGTTGCAGTTGGTAATCTAGATGAGTTTGTGAATGGATGAGTGTGAATGTGGGCCTGTTGTCTCCCTTTTGAGTGTCAGTATGGTTACACCCATCTTCTCTTCCTCTGAGTTGATGTCAGAAAAGAAGTTTTGTCACATTTGTTGCAGTCCCTCCTCCCCCAACCCCTTCTACTCAACAAGAGAAAGGATCAGACTTCAAGATATTGGCTCCTCATTGTGGAAGGGCTGTGAACCCAGTTTAAACCAAAACTTCCTGAGCATAAGTTAGCCTTGCACTTGCTTGCATTCAATGACTAATTTACTCATCTAAAAGAAAGTTGAGAGTCCTTTTCTAGATGTTAGGTGTATGGAGATGAAAGAGAGACGATCTGAACCCTCAAAGAATCAGAGTTTGGGGGAGGAGACTAAGTTTTAGTGCAAGTGTACCTGATCATAATGGAGAAATGCATGTGTACTATAAAGGTCTATAGGAGGGGGCCTCTTAGTACCTTGGAGTGTTGGACAGGCTTTGCTGAAGAAGCATAGTCTGGGCCCTAAGACCAGGAGATGCAGAGGAGGTGGAGGGCAGGATGGGACCAATAATGGTTTAGGCAAAGTGCTGAGTCAGCTATTTCCTTCTCAGTCAGAGCCTGCTGATGTTGATACACTGCTAAAAAACATATCTGGTGCAGGGGCTGACTTTCCAGGGTGTAAATTTCCTAAGTGAAAGCTTCTCCTTCCTTCTCCTCTGTTGCTTTTTGGGCATTTTATTGCTCCTTAGCACCTCTAGGAGGAGAATTGTGGAAAGTAGTGGGTAAAGGGGAGGTAAGATAAAGTGGAGGAGACGGAGGAGCTGCTATCTTTAAGTTCAATGGAAAGTATGTAAAAGTGAAGTCAGAAGAGAAAGTTTGGAGTCTAGGGCTTTTACTTCCTCAGATTATCTTGTTTCCTATTAGCCTAGGTGGTACTGGTAATAGTTATCACTAAGCACTTACTATCTGCCCAGCCCTCTGCTGAATGCTTTATATTCATTATATTAAGTAATCCTCAAAACATCCTTATGATTTGGGAGATGATTAAGCTTATTTTTAGATGAGGAAACAGCTCAGGGAAGGAAGTAACTGGCTGAAAGTCACACGGCTTTGAAGTGGAAGGGCTGGGATTGGAATGGGGATTTGTCTGCCTCCAGAACCCATGTTTTCATGGTATTGGGCCCTCTAACACCAGGTGTTCTGATGTTTCAGGTGAAGAGATTGTTTTCTGAAGGCTGCGTTGGAGGCTGTGACAGAGCAGAGAGCCCGTGTGGAGCTGATGGGGAGGCTTTCTGAATAACATGGCCCTTCGCCATTAGCTTTGCCATGACCACATTTTTCACGAGCGTCCCCCCCTGGATTCAAGATGCAAAGCAGGAGGAGGAAGTGGGCTGGAAACTAGTTCCCAGGCCTCGGGGCCGGGAAGTGGAGAGTCAAGTGAAGTGCCAATGTGAAATCTCGGGGACACCCTTCTCAAATGGGGAGAAGCTGAGGCCTCACAGCCTCCCCCATCCAGAACAGAGACCGTATAGCTGCCCTCAGCTGCACTGTGGCAAGGCTTTTGCCTCCAAGTACAAGCTGTATAGGTAGGTGACATCCTGTACCTCTTCCTGCCCTGAGGTTCCCAGAGGACAAAGCCAGAGAGACTTCACTGAGTATGGGGCTTTATCTGTGGCAGAAGAATAGAGGATAATTTGATCCATAAGTGTACACTGAACACCACCCATTTGGGATCACTCACTAAAAACTAATAGTGGTATTTTTTATTCAAACAGTAGAGTCTGATGGGTACAACATCAGATAGTCATGAACAAACTAGTTTTTTTCAATACTACTTTTCCTACCCCTTCCAAATAATGGTGAGAATCTTAGTGAGAAACTAGAAATCAGTCTTAGAACTTTAGAAGGAAAAGGAAACTGTGGTCCAATTTGTAAATTTTAAAGTGGAGGTTCAGAGTGGGGAAGTAACTTACCCAAGGTCATGTAGCTTCTTAGATCCTGTGGCGTCTCTTCTGCTGAACCAGCCCACCACTTAGATTATTACTTTTATCTCTCTAGAGTCCCTGGTGTCCTCTGGGTTGCGGCTTTTCTGAATTTATAAGCCCATGCACTCCTGCTTGAAGTGAAGTGGAATGTGAAAGCCCTGGTGTAAAGCAGATATGGCAGAGCAGCTTTGGAGGAAGGGGGGGACCTGCTCCAAAGTGATTTTGATTTTATCCTTGCCTTTTCCATCAGAGGAACATGACATGCCCTTTACAGATGAAATGGACTGCCTAATGCACATTCATCCATTCATCTGTCCAACTATGATCTATTACCTACCAGGCACAGTGTCTAGTGCCAGGGACAGAGTCGTGAAGTAGACAGATGGGGGGTGCTAGCCCTCCTTGAGTTTACTGTCTTAATGGTGGGGACAGACAGGCAAAAAAGTAAATACATGAACAAGATGACCACAGAAAGCCTCAGTGCCTTGTCTGGAAAACAGTTGATAGGAAGGGACTGAAACAGGTAACAGGTAATATGTAACCAGGAATTCCCACATGACAGTTCTGTTGGCCTCAAGAATGCTTTGATTCTGTGTTCCTGTGTTTTAGGTAGACTCTTAGCTGGGCTCTCCTCTTAAGACTTTCTTAGTGACAGTCTGGGTGTCAGTGGGAGGCTTCAGGAAAGGCCCTGGCCAAGGAGGCAGGAGCCCTGATGCTACCAATAGTCACTGTATGATCTTAGGAGAGTTATTAAACCTTTTTGGGTCTCAGTTTCCTTACCTGGAGGAAAATATGGGAAATGAACTGTGGATCATTCAGTACTTCCCTCTCATACATTATCCTGTCACTCTTAAGCACTCGCATGTAACATGAGGGTATAAATGTGTTTGATGCCCTCAGGATAGAAAAGATCACTTTCTACATACTACAGACAGTGATGGCACACCTAAGTGAACCCAGGTCTGAAGATGGTGTGTGTTTAAATTCAGCCTCTGCCGGGGGTTGCCCTGCTTCAGCCTCTTAGGGAAAGCAGGGTTCATGACAGCTCACATGGGTCTGGCAAACAGTGGACCGACCCTTTAAGTCTTGCTGAGTTGATTCTGAATGTACTCTGGAGCTCTGGGTTGCGATTCCTGGACACTAAGTTGCTTTCCAACCAGATGGGAGGATATAAACCAAGGGACACTGAGATGCCCTACCATGGAAACACTTTTTTAAATGTTGCTGTTTTACATGTTAAACAGTTTAAGTGGTACAAATGGGTGTGCTGTGAAAAAATGAATTGTCTCCACACTCGCAGCCAATATTCCCCCCAAATGCATCTGTTGGGGTTAGTTTTTTGTGTATACTTGCTGAGACATTCAAACATATCCTCTTCCCTTTTTATTTTCACAAGGGATAGTATCACAATATCCGGAACTTCCTTTTTTACTTAGCCCCCTATAACTTGGGAGATTGTTCCAGATCAGGAAGTTCAGATATATTTCATTTTACCTTTCTTGTGTCATTTAAAATTTTTAAATACAATTTTTTGAAAAGGAACTAACATTCACATAATTCAAAATTTAAAAAGTACCAAGAAGTATATAATGAAAATTCTCCATTACACCTATAAGCTGCCCATTCCTCCACACAGGCAACCAGTGCTGTCAGTTTTTTGTATATCCTTCCAGAAATATTTTAAGCACATACAAGCAAACATACATGTATTTCCTCTTTTTATATACATAGTACCATTCTACATGCACTATTCTGTCTCCTGGGCTTTTTTCTACTTAGTTTAGTGTATCTTAGGAATTTGTTCCCTGTGGGTTCACAGAAATCTGCCTTTTTTTGTTTTAAAGTTGAGTAATTCTATGGACTTAATAATTTATTTAGCCAGTTTCCTCTTGATGGGCATTTAGATTGTTCCTGATACTTTGCTACTACCAGCAATGCTGCAGAGAAGAGCAGCAGTACATGTGTGGTTTTGCAGGTGGGTGAGGATATCTGTAGAATACAGTTGGCATGGTATTCCATTCGGTTCCACTACATGGCTTTACCATGATTTTTGTATCTAGTTCCCTGTTCATGGACACCTCAGTTGCCTGGCCAGTTCTCATGAGCTCCCTTCTTTCTAACTCCTCTATCCTCCATCCCTACCCCCAGGCACATGGCCACACACTCAGCCCAGAAACCCCACCAGTGCATGTACTGTGATAAGATGTTTCACCGCAAGGACCATCTGCGGAACCACTTGCAGACACATGATCCCAACAAAGAGGCGCTCCACTGTTCCGAGTGTGGTAAGAATTACAATACAAAGCTGGGCTATAGGCGCCACCTGGCCATGCATGCCGCCAGCAGCGGTGACCTCAGCTGCAAGGTGTGCCTGCAGACCTTTGAAAGTACCCAGGCCCTGCTGGAACACCTGAAGGCCCACTCACGCCGGGTGGCAGGAGGTGCCAAGGAGAAGAAGCACCCCTGTGACCACTGTGACCGGCGGTTCTATACTCGCAAGGATGTGCGGCGGCACCTGGTGGTGCACACAGGCCGGAAGGACTTCCTGTGCCAGTACTGTGCACAACGGTTTGGCCGCAAGGACCACCTGACACGTCATGTCAAGAAGAGCCACTCACAGGAGCTGCTCAAGATCAAGACGGAGCCAGTGGACATGTTAGGCCTACTCAGCTGCAGCTCCACAGTCAGCGTGAAGGAAGAGCTGAGCCCTGTGCTGTGTATGGCCTCTCGGGACGTGATGGGGGCCAAGGCCTTCCCTGGCATGTTGCCCATGGGCATGTATGGTGCCCACATCCCTACAATGCCCAGTGCGGGTGTGCCACACTCCCTGGTGCACAACACATTGCCCATGGGGATGAGCTACCCTCTGGAATCTTCACCTATCTCTTCTCCAGCTCAGCTTCCTCCAAAATACCAGCTTGGATCTACCTCATACTTGCCTGACAAATTGCCCAAAGTGGAGGTGGATAGTTTTCTGGCGGAGCTTCCTGGAAGCCTGTCTCTCCCATCCGCTGAACCCCAGCCCGCCTCACCTCAGCCGGCGGCAGCTGCAGCCCTCCTAGATGAAGCACTGCTCACCAAGAGTCCCGCCAACCTCTCCGAGGCCCTCTGCGCTGCTAATGTGGACTTTTCCCACTTACTGGGCTTTCTTCCACTCAACCTGCCCCCGTGTAACCCGCCCGGGGCCGCAGGAGGCCTTGTCATGGGCTACTCCCAGGCTGAGGCGCAGCCTCTGCTCACCACTTTGCAAGCTCAGCCTCAAGATTCCCCGGGAGCTGGGGGACCTCTGAACTTCGGGCCTCTGCACTCCTTGCCTCCTGTCTTCACCTCTGGCCTGAGCACCACCACCCTGCCTCGTTTCCACCAGGCATTCCAGTAGCCCCCAAGGAGGCCCTAAGTTCACTCTTGGGCTCTGTCAGGGAGCCTCTGTACCCACCCCACCTGCACCCCCATGAAGGCAGCTGAGCTTTCAGAGCTGGATCAAAAAGAAAAAATTCCAGTATCTGTATGGAGCACTTGGTTTGGGGGCTGAGGCTCCAGGTTCAGTTCTAGGAGGCACCTTGAGCCCCCATCCCATGAAAAAAAGATCCTGTACCATAGAACTTCAGGTATTTTTACTTTTATTTTATCTGAATCGGGAGCCACACTTAGCCCTCTCCCTCTCCAAAGAATCAGAATCTCCTTCTCTTTGGAGGAGGGGGAGGCCTCTTGGAGACACAGAGGGTTTCACTTTGGATGACCTCAAGAGAAAGCCCAAGAAGCCCGCCTTCTGGTCCCAACCTGCAGCCCCCACAGCAGTTGGTCAGGCCGTGCTGCAGAGGATCATTTGACTCCGTCACCTGCTTCCCACCAATGGGCAGGAGAGAGGGCCTCTGTTCCCACCACCCATCCCTCCTGTACCAACACCTCCATCTTCAGTCAGTGTTGTCCAGCAACGGTACCGTTTACACAGTCGCCTCAGACACCATTTCACCTCCCTTGCCAAGCTGTTAGCCTTAGAGTGATTGCAGTGAACATTGTTTACACACCGTGAATCCATTCCCACCAGTCCATTCCAGTTGGCACCAGCCGGAACCATTTGGTACCTGGTGTTAACTGGAGCCCTGTTTACAAGGCGGAGTCGGGTCTCACTGACTTCTTCACTTGAGGTCACATTTTTCCCCTGTGGGGAAATAAACTGACTTTGGACTGCTTCAGTCTCTGCCATCTTCCATGACTATCTGTTCCTGCCTTCCTCGGCAGTGGCTGCAGGAGACAGGCAAGAGGATTGGAGCAGTTTTCTCACAGACCTGCGATTCTGCTTTTCTCCAAGTACATCATGACCCCCTCACCCTCCTTTTGAAGTGGAGAGGGGAAGAAATGAAAGGCATGTCCACATGGTTCTATCACCTCCCCACTCCCTACCTTACTCTGAACATCATGAGCTGGTATTAGTAGTCTTGGAAGGAGGGACTTGGGTTTGAGGCTGGTGTGGGTAGTAAAGGAGAGGGTGTGAACCCCTCATTTATCTTTTTCCTGCTTGTCCCTTTTCCAGGAAGTTGTGGAATTGTTGGAAGAAGAGTTTTCAGAGAGTTAGGATAGGGCAGATAGTAGAGTCCTAATCTATGGGCACATCATTTTCTCCCATACCAAACTTTTTTCTTAATTACCACGTCCCTTCTTTCTTCTCTACCTTGTAGTCCCTGTGGACTCAGGGCTCCTGAGCATAGCCTTCTCTGCTCTCCATCAAAGAACTTCCACCTTCCTCTTGTGGGGCTCTCTGCCACAGACACACAGCCCTTGCCCAGCTGACCCCCCACCCTGCTTGATCTCCGTTGTGCATGGGCTTCTCTTCTTACTCCTGGAAGGGAGGCGCTCAGAGACCACCAGTGTGGGACCCTCTTGAGACTCCTCCACTCTGATTCAGAAACACACTTCTACCTCTTTACTGTTAATTCCTACACACGCAGCCAGCAGTTTCCAGGCACTGCTCTCAGTGGGTGCCTCATGCTGGCTTCTCCACTAGGGTTTCAGGACAAACTACCAAGGAGCTGCCTCAGCCTCCTCCCAGCCCTCCCCCTCTTCCTCCCCCTTCTGTCTAGAAATCACTTTGGTTTATCATCAGGTCCAAGACCCAGGCTTCTGCCTCAGCCTAGGCAAGTACTCTGAGGTGAAAGCCTTAAAACATAGCTCTCCTGGCCCTTGATTGGAAGCAATGTGGAGTGCGTGAGCATGTTTTGATTTTAGGCAGGGTAGCTTGGATACCTTTAAAAAAACAAAACCAGTTATAAAAATGTCTGGCAAGGTTAGGATCAGACTAGGTGATTTGCTTCTAAGTATTAGTTTCAGTGAGTCCCAGGGACTAATTAAGGTTTATTTTTAGCGTCCACCTTGGTACGCAGCCACCTCCTGCATGCTGTGCATGTTACTGGGACTGGTGTTATAGGAAATGGTAAGTGAGGATCCAAGCAGGCCTCAATGCAGCCGTTCTCCTAATTGTCTCTGGTCTTCATCACTAGACCCTGTAACCCTTCCCCTGCTCCCTGCCGCTGTCCCTGTCCCCCTTCATTTACAGAGACAAATGGGCCTCTAGCCACAGAAAATAAAGTCTTTGGGCGTAGAGGAGTCCCCTCCTCTTTGCCTGTTCTTTCCTGTCCCTTCCTTGAATTCTCCCCCATTAGTGACACTGGGAAACTCATAGGACAGGCAAAGCATCTATTTAAAACCTTGTAACTGGGGACTTGCCCCCACTCCCCTCCCCTACCATCTTTCCTGCCCCTTCTCTTCCGTCAGTGCCCTCACCACCCACAAAGAATTTACCTATCACTGTGAACTTCGCTGGTACAGAGGAACATCTGCCTTCACCTTTTTTGGACCATAACTACCCAGTCATTTCTTAAACCTCTCTTCCCAAAATTTAAAAAAAAAAGGAAAAAAAAAAAGGAAAAAGCCTTATTGGCCTGGTTATTCAAAGGATAAGAATAGCTTTATCCTGCACCCAGTACCAAACTCACTTCAGTGCCCTACTAAGGCCATGAGAGCCTGAGGGCTATCTGCCCAGGATAGGAGCCATGGCATGTGGCAGACACCAAACAGGGACCAGGAAAAAGGGGTGATGTCCCCTTTCCCTACCACCTCCTCCAACCTCAGGTGTCAGCAAAGAGCTGCCCTGAACAGGGCAGACACCTTCCACCCTGCACAGAAGCTGGTCAGGGTTAAGTGCAGTCCCGGGGGCCAGGGATGACACACCCACCTGTGTCAGCTCAAAGGCTCTGTGCACATCTTAAAAGAGGCAAGAGGTAGGGAAGGGAGCACTAAGGAGTTTTTCCATGCAACCTTTCACAAATGGCATTTTGTTAATGGAAATCCGGGAAGCAGGTGTGATTACTTTTTTGCTCATAGATATTGTCCTAAGTTGAAAATCTCCATAAGTTTTCCCCTAATAGCCCTGTAAATCCTGCCCCCTTCTTTTTGGTAGCTGTTTTCTCCACCTTCTCTCCACTTCCCCTCTTATCTAGGAGCTGTTTTGAAGCACGATTTTTTTTTAACAGTTTATGTTGTACAGGATCAATATTTTGCTTTTTAACAAGGATATTTATGTGATAAGAAACTTTGCCTTAGGCAGGTGTTGGCCAGAAAAGTCTGGATTCCTCTGGGACCCCACCCTGGCCTCTCCTGGAGCTCTGAACCTGCTGTGGAAGGAATTGGCTGTGACCTTCACCACTGGAGAGTAGGGTCTGTGCCAAGGGGAAGGAGTGTTCCTTTCTGACAGGAGAAGGATTCACCATGATAATCTAGTGCCTCTGTGGAGGGGTTTGGAAGAAGTATTCCAGCCCAATTTCTTCATATGTAAGCTGACCCTCGCAATATGTATCTCTCCACATCAGAATATTCAGCACTAGAACTCCTGAAACACGACTTCCCATCTGCCTCCCTCGCTCCCAGTGGTCAAGGCTTTGGAGCCACTCTTTCGTAATGCCAGATTATTTAAAGAGAAAAATACAAGACAAAAACCTTCTAGCACTTTGTAAACACAGTGAATAACCTCTTGGAGTATTTTTGGCTTTATATAAAACAAGGTTTTTAATTGTAAAATATAAGTGCCATTAGAAAATGCACAGGGCGTATCTTTGTTAAAGTAGATTTTTCAATGTTTTACAGAATTAAATTTTCAAAAAAAGTTTTTATAATGAAGTTGTTTATTAAAAACTTCTGAATGATGTGTTTGGAAGTCGTGAACCTGTTTGACTGGGAAAGGGTTGGAGCAAGCCTTGGAAAGAATTGGAATCTCCAGACATCTTTACATCCAAAGGCATGGTGAATGTAGGACAGACGAACTTTGTACTTTGAAAGATCTTAATATGTCTTTGAGGTAAGTGACATACTATTAGTAACTTTGGATAAAAGGGTCAGAAAATCAGATTGGCTTAAAAAATGATATTTCATGTAACTGAAAATGCCAGGTGTACAGCAGTCAGGTTGGGATTGATCAAGCATATCAAACAGGGTTGGCTTTAGCATTCCTATTTCTCTCTGCCCTGTCTCGTGTAGTTGTGACTTCATCCTCAGGCCCTACAAAGTGGCTTGTCCTTTTGTGCAGTAGAATGCTGCCATGATTCCACCCTTGTCATTGTGATACAGTGCTGAGCAGGAAAAGAAGGTGTCCTTTTCTAGGCTCTCCCAGGTGAGAGGGGTGCTTTTATTTACAGAAGCCCAAGTAAGCATATTCTGTCTCATTGCCTCGATGGTGTTCTGTGCCACCCAAACCAGACACTAAGCCAGTGAAGACAAGGTTGAGGCAGGGGGGAGGAATGGCTTCTCAAAGGAAATTTGGGGTACTATTAGGAAGAGGAATAGATGCTGGTTGCCCAAGGAAAGACAAATGTCACCCACTGCCCAATGTGCACAGCTGCTAAGCGACATAGTTAGGACCTGACTTTGCCCACACTTGGGGCTACCCACCGGGTTCAGCAGACGGTTGAGAGGCTGACATGGCTTCATCTGAAGTCACTGCTGGGCCAGGCTCTAATGAAGGCAGTCTTTACTCTTCTGGGCCCTGTCCCTTGTGCAGAGATCCTCCCATCCAGGGCCAGTGTCCATAGCCAAGCAGTACAAGTCACTCCAGAGTCCAGCCCAAGAGTCCATGGGACATTAACAAGTGTTAATGTGTCTAATAGGTGTTTTGTCTACAAAGGCAGTTGGCTGGCTCTTCCCTTCTTTGGCCTTCTGTTTACTTGACATGTGTTCACTGTCCACTCCAATGGGTCAGATCCCTGGCTAGGGCTCCAAGGGAATCCACCTTGACCCCTGGTAGGTGCATACCCTGCAATGGGTTGGGTCTCAGAGCTATCTTATTCACTAGATGCGAGGAGACTGGAGGCTTTCTGGAGAAGGTGACAAGGACTTGCAGGCAGGGAGGGGGCATTGGGTGTATACTGACCTCCACAGGCCTCAAGTTTGGAAGCTGAGGCCACAGGAGTGCAGAGGCATATGCAGGATCAGGGCTGCAGGGGCTGGTCTATCCAGGCTCTTACTCCATCAGGCACAGACCTTGCACGAGACTAGAACACATTTGTGAAATGTCTGATACAAAGCAAGGGGTGTAGCGCTTGGACCTAGGACAAGGTGAAGCAACGTCCACCTTTCAGTCTACCAGCCCAGGAGGAGACAGCTGTTGTGAGGAAACCAGGCAGATGCACAGTTGCTCCCTGGCTGGCAGCATTTGAGACCTTCCCTGCCCCAGATCCGTCTACTCCGACCTTGTTTCTCCCTTTCTCCACATGAGTATTTTTGGCAACTTGTGCCCCCACAATTCCCAACATCTGTGGCTCCCAATTTAAGTCTGGTTAGTCTGCAAGGGATGCTTTTTGAGCCCTCTGCATATGCCTAATTTATCCTGCGAAAAGCTGCAAGGGTCCTACAGCTTCCTCAAAGCTACAGTCGAATGTGGACGTGGGGCAACTCTCACTTGCCCACCGTGGACACAGGGAACAGTGGTGGAAGGTTCTATCTGACCGTGACGGGGTGGACCTGGTCCCTGCTCCCAGCTGCTCCTTATTTGGTACACCCCTACACTTCACCCTACCTCTACCGCCAGCGCCCTACTATCTGGGGCCAGTTCTCTCTGGCGATCGCGGTCGCACCCCCGGAGGGATAAGCCCCCGGCCCCTCGTCCCTCGCAGTCGGTGGACCCTTGAAAATCACATCCGGAAAGGGGGGCCTAGGGGCGGAGCGCTCCCCGGAGGAGACCGCGCCTTCCCGCCTCCCGCCCGCGGTGCTGCCGCCGCCAGCCGCCGAGCAGCCCCTCTCTCGGAACCCGCAGCGTCGCCGCACACTCCAGGCCAGCGGCTCCTGCAGGTGATGACGGACAAGGGTGCCGGGGGCCCGGGAAGCGCTGCGCGCCCGCCGCGAGGCCCAGTGCAGGAGGTGGGCGCGCTCCGAAGCCCCGCAGCTGGGGCACGAGAAGCCGGGAGACCCGGGCACCCGGCCCCCACAGGCGGCCCCGGGACCTTCCCACCTGTCCCGGGGCGCGGGGAAGCGGCCTCCGCAGCGACTGAGCGGAGCCCGGGAAACGGCTTGGTCACGGACGAAGCCCCAGAAACCTGCGGCGCAGAAGGATGGGGGGTTCAGGCGGGACCTGGCGGGAAGGCCGAGGAAGTGACGACGGAGGAGGGCGCCATCTTCGTGGAGGAGGTGGAGAAGCAGCAGGCCCGAGAGGAGATGGAGGTGGCGGAGAAGCTGGAGGTGGGAGCGCAGTCGCAGGAGGGCCCATGGCCCCTGAACCTTGAGGGCCCAGTTGTGGACCCACTGGAAGCCATCCAGTGGGTGCTGGAGGCTGTGAGTGCCCAGGCGGACAGGGCCTACCTGCGCCTTGAACGCAGGTTTGGGCGCATGCGTCGGTTGCACCTGGCCCGTAGGAGCTTCATCATCCAGAATATTCCAGGCTTCTGGGTTACCGCCTTTCTGAACCACCCACAGCTGTCAGCCATGATCAGTCCGCGAGATGAAGACATGCTCTGCTACCTGATGAATTTGGAGGTCAGGGAGCTCAGGCATGCCAGGACGGGCTGCAAGTTCAAGTTCTGCTTTTGGAGCAACCCCTACTTCCGAAACAAGGTGATCGTGAAGGAGTATGAGTGCAGATCCTCCGGCCGGGTGGTGTCGATCGCAACTCGCATCCGATGGCACAGGGGCCAGGAACCTCCTGCTCTGGTACACAGGAACCGGGACACTGTCCACAGCTTCTTCAGCTGGTTCTCACAGCACAGCCTCCTAGAGGCCGATAGGGTTGCTCAGATTATTAAAGAGGACCTGTGGCCCAACCCCCTGCAGTATTACTTGCTGGGGGATAGGCCCCACAGAGCCAGGCGAGGCCTAGCAAGGTGGCCTACAGAGACCCCTCCTAGGCCCTATGGGTTCCAGTCTGGCTAAGTCCTGCTTGGTTCCTGGCCCCTACATAATTCTCTGCTTGGCCTCCTGTGCACCTGTGCTTAAGCTGACATTGGGCACTCTGCTGTCTGCTTTCTCTTCTGTGCACTCTGGCCCCCCTGGAGAGTCAGTGGATGCAGCTCCAAGATGATGGCCTTTGTGGCCAAACTCTTCTGTTTCCATGTGGCCTTCATGCATCATGTGACTGTCACATGCCAGTGTTTACCTAAATACCCAATGCTATGGACATGTACTGCCATCATCTTCATGGCCTGCACCTATCTTTGATCATGGCCCTCCCACCCATTTTTGACATGAGGACCCGTAAGTCATCACTAGGAGGGCCCATGCCTCTTAGAAGCCTCCCTACTTCAAAGCCATGACATGCAGGGCTTCATATTTATGCTGGCCCAACCCACTGGCTATCAAGCAGACTTGGACATTCTAGGGCCTCAGGACCACAGGCCAGGCTTCCACAGGGGGAAGTGGTGGAAGGTTCTATCTGACCATGATAGGGGGTAGGCCTGGTACTGTCAGGCACCTGGCAGAATGGGCATGCAGCCAGAGGGTGGTTGCTAGCCATGGGTGAGGTCAAAGGCACTAAGCAGTGGCAATACGTCCTTATGATCACGCTGTTCTTACCCCTGTGTTCGTCCTACTGCGTAGCCTGCTACCAGCTTGTGAAGGTCTGTATGGTGCCCTGTGTCTGGCCATTGCCCTTCTCAAGAGTTTTGCCTGGGTAGCCACCAACTTTGTCACCTCCTCTGAGGTCTATAAGGACCTTAAGAACTGGCTGTGGACCCAGGCGGATCACCTGTTAATGCCCAAGAAGCATGTGCTCAAGGCAGTGGCAATGGTATGGTCCTTTTTTAGAGGCCCATCTTCCTGAGCCCTAGTCACTGGACTCACACAGAATCCAGCTGAGAAATGAAACAACTGAAGAAGCAAGGTTTTTAGACGCAGCTGGGAGACAGGCTTTCTTGTTAAATTTGCCTCTGTCTCCAGCAAGGGCAGGTTGTGCTGTAGACAAGTCTGCATTTTCTTTGTTCCCTCTGTTCCTATGTCTCGCCCCCTTCAGCAAGTCATGGAATCTTCAAAGGGGGACAGTGCAGGACTCAACAGAGAGACCGGAAGGTCTGGGCTCCCAGGACAGGGATGGTTCATTTAGTTTTGTGCTGTGTTCTTTCAGACTAACTTCAGCCCCAGCTCTACTTCCTCCACCAGGCCCACACCCCACTGTGGGATCCCGTAGGTAGAGCTTGGCTGCCCCACCAAGTTCCCCTCCTCAGGCTTTCAGAGCTGTCTCCATGTCATCCGGGGCGTGACCATACTCAGGTCCCTTCCCATGGGAGGCCTTATCTTTTGCTCCTCAGGACCTGGGGAGGCCTTGACACAAAATAAAAGGGCAGGTGCCCTCAGAAGGGGGGCACAGCAGAAGCCAGAGCCTGCTGGAAAAGCAGGGGTGGCTAGAGCCCTTGGGGTAGAGGGAGGAGAACACCTAACTTCCTAAGGGAGGTTCTTCCTGACTTTTTTGATTCACCAATATGTGTTTAGACTTAGAACGCAGAACACTGCAACTTCAGAGGTTCTCTCAGTCCAAGTATGACCTTGTGTGTGTATAAAATTAATGCTGCATGCTTTTCACTTACTTTTAAGTAAGATTCTAGGCATCCTCTGCTCTGTTTACACCCACTGGAAAAGTTGAGTTGTCCAAGCTGCTTGTTGCTTTTAGTTGAGAACATTTACAAGAATGTCAGTGTAAATTTTCTGTGCTACTTGGAAATTCATGTGGCTCTTCATGATTGTTATCAAGTTGCTGTACCTGTTAAAATAATTCTGTATGTAGAAGTAGTTTAAATAAGGTGGTTTTGTAGGATTTAAGATGGGAAATTGTTCAATGTTTGAGGAGAACCTTCAAAAAGAGATCTGTACCTGCTGGTCTTAGTGATTCTGTGCTCTGGCGGCATGCTGTGATTGACTGCTGATGAGCTTCTCAACTGAGAAATATTCATCAAGTGGCTTTGTCCAATTAGAAGAGGATTCATGGCACTTTTGTCTTCTATATGCATGATGGAAAAATAAAAACCTTTCAATCTGCATAAAAAATAACTCAGATCATGTTATTCCCCCATCCAAAACCCACCATTGGCAGAAAAAAAAAATCTTGGTGCCTTATTATGGCTGACAAAGCCTCGCGCTCCCTGGTCCCACTGTTGCCTCCTGTCCATCTCCCCTTCACTCCCCCATTTGCCTCTCTGCTGCCCCTTAAACCACTGAGCACATTCCAACCTCAGGAATTGTACCTAACTTTTTGTCTCTGGAATTTTATTCCTGCAGGTACTCTCATCTCTGGCTCCCTCAGTTCTTTCAGGCCTCAAACATCACTCCTCCAGGGGCCTTCACTGCCCATCCCATCTAGGGTCATCCCTACCCCTGCCTGCCTCCTCTCCCCTTCCTTTCGTGATTTCTCCACATCACCTGTAAGTCTCTGAAATGATCTTGTTTTCTTCTTCCCTCCCCGTCTACCTGTTTCAGCAGAACAGGAACCTGTCCATCTGCTGCTTTGCCCCATGCACACCCCAAAGATGACTTGTGTAAGTGAATGACTGTCCACATGGGCCAGAATATTGTCCTGGGCCCTGACAAAGAACAAGGCATGGTTCCTGCCCAAGGGTTTCAGTGGGGCGGAGAACGGTGGGCTCAGTGAAGGGCGACCATGTAATCTGTCATCCAGCTGGAGCACATCTAGGAGTCACAGGGCACAGCTAATCAGGTGAGGACGAGAAGCCTAACTGGTATGTAACTGTCACCCCAGAGACAAAACCCAACTAAGCCCAGCTGGGCAAACAGCGCACCCCAACTGTGTGTGATGTGGGATCAGAGGGTGGAGACCTCTCTGAAGTCAGGACATGGAAGCTGGGCAGTAGTTTGGAAAATGGGGCTGAGAAAGGAATTGCTGATAGAGCAGCCAGTGTGGCTGAACGCCCTGGGATAGAAAATGCATGATGTATTCAGGGCAGAACGTGCCCTGGGTGTGGCTACTTGGGAAAGGCAAGGCTGGGTGGGTAGATTAAGGCCATTTTTCTGGAAATGGGGACTCTGAATGCAAAGCAAGACATTAGCCTTTGGCTAGTGGGGAAGGGTATCAAATGTGGCTCAGAGACAGGAAAGCTCACAAGACTGCTGAAGCCAGGGGGAGGGAATATCTGCAACTCTAGCTCTAGTGTCTTTACTTTGAACCTTATCCTCTCTCCAGGCTGCCGCTCTTCCAGGAAAGCTCTCCATGATTGCCCTAGCCCATGACAATCTCTGCCATCTTCCAAATACAGCCAAGATCCAGAATCTTGGACATGAGTGTTTAGCTAGACTCTACCTTTAAGTTTCTCTTCTGTGCCAGACACCTGTCCCTGTTGCTCCTGGGGGAGTCAGGGTGAGCCTCTAAGCATCCTGATGATCCTGGAAGCTGGCACCCCATGGGTTTGCCTGCTCTGCACCTAGTGGTTGGCAGGTGCACTTTGGCTCCTGCAGCCCAAGTTTGGGCCCAGCTGCATCCTGTATGTCCTTAGGCCTGAAACAATGGTGCCTCCCTACACAGGTGTTTACCTGATCTTTCTGTTGCATGGCCAGTGGAATGATTCCTTCAGGACATGACTGCCCTCAGCAAGGGGCCGTGGCAACTGTGTCTTGGCTGTGCATCTGGGGCATGGTTGTTATCCCCTGACCTGCCCCCCAGCCCGTGCTTGATGCATGTCCTGAGTCACTCATTTATTTATCCACACATCTTAGTGCCCCCTCTGTACTGGGCACTGGGGGCATAAGATCCTGATCTCTGCCCTCAGTGAATCCCAGTGGCAGAGGCTGAAAACAGTGATAATAAGCACTGACATTTGGTCAGTGCCCACCATGCACCAGGGGCTTGCATGGATGTAGCAGCCAGAGGTGCGCCCCAAATCCAAGTGGGGCTATGCCCTTCCTCTGCGCCAAACCCTCCAGTGGCTTTGATCACATGCATGAAGAGCTAGTGTGTTCCTCACTGCAAGAGCCTCATGATGGGATCCCTAGTCACCGCTCTAACTTCATCTCCTGTGCCTCTCCTTCTCCAGATCACTTTTCAGCGACACCAGCCTCCTGCTGGTCTTCAAACCTGGATCAGCCTTGCTTGTTCTTTCATCTGCCTGGAACCTTCTCCACATATTTAATGACTAGCTCCTTGATTCACTAAGGTTTCTCAGCTCATGTTACAATTTCTTCACAGTAGCCTTCTAAAAAAATATTCTGTCACTTTCCCTCCCCTTCTTTCTGATTTGGATTTTGTTATAGCACTTACAACCATCTGACATTATATTGTATATTCTTTTATCTGCCTTTTTCTCTATACTTGCAGGGACTTTGTTCTATTCACTGATGAATACCCTTAACTTAGGATAGCACCCATCACAGTTAGGGGCTCAGAAACTGTTGCATGAATGAAGGCTTCACATTCACAAGGTTCAGGAGGGTCTTCTAGGAGGGCAAGGTTCTCTCTCTCAGGATAGGAGCTCTGTATGGCCCAAGCAACCCTTGTCCAAGCAGCCTCTCTGGCCCCACTCCCGGCCCCTCCTATAGAGAAGGCTTCCTGGCTTACACATGCTCCAAGGGGTGAAGGGAGGTCAGGGTGAGGGGGGGCATCCTACTCTCGTGTGGGGAACAATACAATCCTCTGACTCCAGGTTTTGCTCATCTCTGCTCTCTGGAGTCAGCCCTGTTCTGTTGGATTGAGAAGGAACTTTGGACAAGTTCTTTTCATGCAGAAAAATCTGTCCAGAAACTAGCAACTAGTTGTTACCTGTAACAAATTATGCCCTCATTACAGCTTGGGGGACTTAGATCTGTTTTATTCCAAGAACATATTTCAGCACAAAAATTCAAGGAAGTCTCTGAGTATCTGCTTGCCCTTGCTCAACAGGAGAACCAAATGTTGACTTGGGCTGGTGAACTTTGAGGCCCCAACCTCACAGGCACCCCTGTCAGAGCTGACTCAGGATTGCAAGGGCATGAGATTGTGGGGGATGGTCACCAGCTGGAAGACTGGTCAGCCTGCGTGCCCTTGACTCCCCACTGTGTGGTCTCGAGCGTATCTTTTCACAGACCTCAGCCCCAGTTTCTCATCTGAAGGAGAACTTGGAGTTCCTTAGTGGGAGGAAGAAGTCCCTGCCGGGTGCCTCCCCTGCACATGTGCCTCCAGTCCTCCAGGGTGCTGGCTCAGCACCAATGCTTTTGGCTGCACCTAACAGAAACTCTGATTTGAGTCTTTTTCCTTACATGAACATCCACAGGTGAGATGGTTTCGGGGGCTGTCTGACTCAGCAGCTCAGTGATGTCTTCAAGGACTTGGGCCTTCTCTGATCTGCTGTCCTTGCTGTTGGCTCCATCCTCAAGTTGGTGCCAAGATGGTAGCAGTAGCTTTAAGAGTCATGTCGGGATATGGCAAATCCAGAGAAGGCAAATTATGTCTTCCCATGACTCCCTTAAAATGGAGGAAACCTTTCCCAGAAGCTACTCCAGACTTTCCAGGTTCTGCATCTAATTGGCTAGAATTGGGTAACATGTCCACTGTTGCATCAATTACTGGCAAGGGGGAAACACGGTGCCATTATTTGCTTGAACGAAGCATCATGGGTGAAATGGATGTCTGCCCACAATGTCCAGTGGGATGGGATAGCTAAGACATAATTCCAGGAGCTCACAGTCATAATTCAGCCCTTCTGTGGGACTGCCCAGACGGTACTTTCTTCGTGACGGCCCTTAGGATTAGAGGGCTGCTGATGTCCAGAGTAGCACAAGTCCAACTGTAAGGTTTCTGGACCTAAAGAGTTCCTTCAGTCCAGCTAAGTCACTGCCCAACTAAGATTCCTCGGAGTCAGGTCCTTTGGTGGTTGATGAGGGAATAACTGATGGAGCACCTTGTGTGAGTCATCTTTCACTTAGCAGAACTCATACAGTTCCTCAAAGAGCCCCTGTGATCAATCATGCAGGTGAAAAAGGCAGCAGTGAAGACCTGCTTTTAGCCAAGATGGAGTAACAGGGATCAGATTGATGCTCACACCCACCAGAAAAACCAGACAATATATATGCAACGTTGGTTTAGAAGGCACTGAATATTGACCAATGAAGGAGAATGATTTTAGACAGATGGGAAACAAGTGAGGTAGCACTATGATTGCCTTAGATTCCTGCCTTGAGGGTTTTCAGGCTGCAGCATAGGAAGGGGGACAAACTGCAGCCCAATGCACTGAGTTGAGGAGACAGCACTGCGAGTTTGAGACCAAGGTAACAAGAGTTCACAGGACAGAATACCAGAGACAGGGAGCTGCAAAGGGAGAATCCCTTATCGGAGAGGGCCCTCTTCAGTATTCATCAGAACACTAGTCAGCATAGGTATGTGAGGAAACCACCTGTGGCCAAGAAAAGAACCATCAGGAAGGATTAAAGGAACAGGACCTAGTGCTCACATGAGTGGGAATAGTGTTCCTATTCCCACCAGCCATGGTACTAAGGAGAGTATCGTGGGGGCACTGGGGAGAGTTCAGAAAGGTCTTGCCTCAATAGTGGCCAATAATTAACCTTCGAATGGGCACTGCTCTGGACTTACCTAAAAGAATCTTATGAGCAAGACCCAAAAGAATCAAACTGTTTTCAAGTAACTTAACTGTACAAGAACAAAGTTCAAGAGGATTTACAGGATTAAAAATATTCAGTATCTAGCAAGGTAAAATTCAGAATGTCTGGCACCCAAAGATTATCAGGCCTGTAAGTGGCAGGCACCATGATCCAAATGAGGAAAATAACAAAAGCCAACTCACAACTGAAACAGATGTTAAAATGAGCAGATAAGGACATTAAAAGTTGTAATTGTATTTCATATGTAGAAAAAAATTAAGACTTTCACATATACAGTCAAATGATTTTGACAAAGGTGCCAAAGCCATTCAATGAGGAAAGGACAATGTTCTATAAATGGTATGGGGAAAACTGGGTACCTACATGCAAAACAGTAAAGTTGGACACTTACCTCACACCATATACAAAAAATAACTCAAAATATATCAAAGACTTAAATGTAAGACCTAAAAATCTGAAACTTTTAGAAGAAAATAT